AGACCGGGCCACAAAGCGTGGATAATAATAATGTGGAACCGAAAATGAGCTGGGATCGGTCAGGACTGACGACTGGCAAAGTGGCGACTGCCGGTGCGGACTCTGAAGTTTTGTATTTGCACCTGCAACACTCGATGCAGAAATTTTGATGAGCCATGCGCGGCTTATAATTAAATTGAAGTTGTAGATACAGTTTGATATCAGCACCGTTGCGCCCCATAAAACATATGTGCATAAAAATTACATAATGGCTAAGCGTGCGTTTTAGAAGCCTTGGCATTTAAAATTGTTTGCTGGGTAAATGTGTGAAAGGGAATAACCCCGAAGGCAACCCAACGTAAAAGTCGCATATATAAGCTAACTTTAAAAATGTGAAAATGCAAAGCACGTTGTCCGAGACTTGGCTTTCGAATCTGCCTTTATTCATTTTAATACCCTTGCAAAGGGTATATTATTTTGTGGTAAAGTTTGCAAGGCATTGTAGAAAGACTCTCAGTTTTAAGGATAATCCGACTTGGGAGATATCAATTTTCTCCTATTTTTATTGAAAAGAATGGATTCTAAGGAAATATATTTTCCCAACTAAGGTAACAAGATCAACTAAATATTAACTAGTAAGATTTTGGTAAGGAATTATCAACATCAGAGTAATTTATCATATGGCTGCCATATCTTTTTTGGCCATGTTTATTCGGGTATTTCTTCGCCTATTAGAATTTATTTGCACAAACAAAAATTCGTAGCCTGAGTCGAGACTCATCCATAGCCACTTTATAAACCGATCCTTTTCAGCATTCCCAAGCTGCACCACCAAACAATTGAACCGAATCCACTTCTATTGTAGAGTCCGTTTGACAGCTTATTTTCATGCCACACATTTGCATTTATCGAACGAGAAAAGCTGCAAATTTAATGTAGGCCTTAACCGAAAATAAAGCTGAAGCTGAAAACTATGCATATATATATATGTATTGTCATTGTCGAATAAATCAAAATTCACACACAGGTCGCTTGGCCAAGTTGCAATTGTATGCAAAAAGAAAAAAAGTGAAAAAATGAAATAAATAAATGCCGCAGGTGGCCACAAACTGTCGGCCGTTTGTCCGATTGTCTTTCAACGTTTCAAGTGTTTGTCTTTGCATCCAGTTGGACAAATTTACATGCGCGCCTCGCGCACAATGAGGCAGCCACAGGTAGGCACGGCTGGACATTCCATTCTGGCCACTGGACAATGGCCACACGTCGATATTCAAATATATACATTTTTTCCTTTTTTTGTTTTTTTTTTTTGTTTTGTTTTGTTTTTGCGCTGCCCGCTCAAGGCACACATTTGAGCATTAATCGCACCGGTCAAATATGTTTTAAATGGAAAAACTTGTGAGGGACGCTTGGTCGTGTCATTTCCGCTTTTGTAATGCTCGTTATCCTTTGACAGTATGTGTGACAAACGTACAGCTGTGCGGGTGTCCAATTATAGAAAATATTTGTAATTAAAGTGCAACTCTTAAGCTGTGTGAGAATCCAGCGAGCCTAAATCCATCAATCATTTTTTTTTAGTAATCTTTGAATTTATATATAAAATATTCGTTTTTGACAACTCTCCTTTTTATACCTTTGTGTAAAGCTGATAAATCCGGATGATATATGTATAAGTCACCTGAATCTATCTGTCATTTAACATCTGGCGATTTTCAAAATGTAGGCTTAAGATTTATGAATCCATCAGTCAATTTTTTGTAATGTGTGATTTTATATCTATAATTTTAATTTGTTTTTAATTTGGGAAAAACTAGTTCTTTAACCTCAATTAGAAAATATCCTAAATAAATGTATTTCCCCATTACAAGGCATACACGTCTTAGATATTTAAAATAACACACGTTTTTAATTGTACAACTGTGAGTAATTTTGGTAAATATTAATATACAATTTCCAGCTGTATTTCTTAACCGATCTTGATTTTTGCGGATGATAAATTGTATGCCAAGTTACATAATATTGATATTGGTGATCGATTCGCGGAGACTGTGGATGCTAGACAAACTAAATCTGCGACAAATTTAATCTCTACCAGAACTGAGAGAAAGAGAGTCTATGAGATCGATTCAATTGGTAGATATTCTGCACGGACGCCACACTGTATAAACATATCTATTAATGTTCACCTACAGAATATACAGCTGCACGCATTCCCACTAATTTTAGATCTTGTTTGTCTACTATCTCAGATCGTTAGTCTGAGCAAAAGTGTCAAATCAAATCAGAGTCAAGATGATTTGCTGGTAAAAATTACACTAATTCAACTTTTTAGGGCGTCAGATTTTTCATATGCAGTTGGTTTTTGTTTTTAGTAAGGATTAAGAGAAGTCAAGGAAGTCTAGGAAAACATAACCCACACATAAAGGAACTGTAGCTATTAGGTGGGAATTGAAAGCTCAGATTTCTATATGGAAACTATGCAGTGACCGCAATATCCAATACCAAAAACGATGTCTGGGTTGACAGTTATCCTGCAGGGAGTCAATCTTCATGAAGATTTGAGCAGGGAACCGTCAACGCTTTTTCTTGGGTTAAGATCCACAGCATGATAAGCAATTTACTTGAAATATCATTATATGAATTTATAACATTTTTGTTAATATCAAACAAAATATTGGAATCTTACAGAGATTTCAAAAGACATCAACAATCTTTTGGCTTAACCCTAGACAAATCACTAATTTTAGACAAACATCTAGACAGTAAGGCAGACTTCTTGCTTTAGACAGTTTCCACTAAGAAGTCTCAAATCTACAACGTTCCCCGGATGTAATCGACTTTTCGAATTTTGGCAGAGTATTTCTTAATAATGAGAGTCGCTCTCGGACAGCTCGCCTGCAACATCCTCCAACTGTTCCTCTGGATTCTTAAAATTAAATTATATTCACAAGCCATAAGGGCGGACTACATATATAAAAAAAAAGTTTTAATAAAAAGAGGGGAACATTTTGTGGTGACCAAGTATAAAAGCAACAAGAACAGTCAAAGTAATAATATTAATAAGGGCGAGCAACATGCAACTTTGGCATTTGCATTGTTTACGGCTGCCGGCAGCCGGAGGAATGTTCCCGAAATTAGTAAGTCATTTTTCTACTTATCGCAATTAGTTTGTGTTTGTTTAATTATAAAAATAGTTTGCCAACAAAGTTTTGTGCGCTGACATTTATTTGGCGTGTAGCCTCCCCTGCCCAACCCCGTACCCCACGCTCCGCTCCACTGCATACTCAACTCATCAAATAAAAACTTGTTCGACATTGGCAGGATGAAAAGTGAAAAGAAAAAATGAAAATGAAAATGAAAATGTGAAACTAACAAATTTTATTTAATTTTTGCTGCGTTTCGTTTCGTTTGCTATGCAAATTTGGCGCTTTTGATGCGCTTTTAATTAGTCCGCTCTCTCCCCGCATGGAATAACGCGAAAATCCGCTGTCAATCGGATTGTTGTCTTTGTTTTTCTATGCTGATTCGTATTGCACTTTGATTCCGACCCCCTTCCCATTCCCCTTCCCCTTCCTTGTCCCACAACCCACTCACCCACTGCCTGTCAATCGCATGCAAATGAGCTCGTTCGTTCCCTCACACGACAACAGCAGCCAGGTGTGGCCAGGTGCACTGTTTGGGTGTTTGGATGTTTGGGTGCGGCGGGCTGTCAACGTTTTACGTTTTTAGTTTTATGTTGCGAAAATTGAAGTGTCCTTTGCATATTCAGCAGCATGCAAATGCATTGCACTCAGCCAGCAATTACAACGCCACTCGATTCGAGGGGACGCTTCTCGCATGCCCCTGCTCCTTAATATACCCGGCAGCCATTAAAAATGGCACCAAAATAAGGGTATTACCGAAGACTATACAAATATATATAAAAACTTTGTCATAGCAAAGTTGTATGTGATAAAAAAATCGCAGTAAATTTTAGTAAATCACCCCAAAAAAGAATTAAGTTTTAAATGTTCTTAGAAATAATTTCTAAATATTAGGAAAAATAGTTCAATTTCATAAGAAATAAGAAAAACATTTCCAAAAATTAATTTTTAGAAAAAATCATTCCGAAATTCAGAAACAATCAATGGCTCGGCTTTCATATTAGAATTCGTGTTCTTTCAAGTTAAGTATGTGAATATTATAAACTGTATATATGTAAAGTTTTAAAATATTAATGTTTAATAATAATTGAATTAACAAAAAATCGAATATACGAATTCTTTAATGTTACATACATATTTTTTCTAAATTTTTAGCAAAATCCACCCTGAAATTTTGAAATGCAAAACATGGTTTTTAGAAAGCTACAAGCATGAATTTTAGAAATTTCCCTTCTGAATAATATGGAGACCAATCATCCAGGCACATTTTATTTTATTTTAGGGAGCACTTTCTGTTTGTCTAAGACATATATATATATAAATTTACGTTGCCTTGATCTGTAATTGTAAAGATTCTTCACTAACTACACACTTCTTTATTAAAAATAAAGGAACTAACGCTTATAGTAATGATCAAGTCATATTTATAGTTTATTTACATATGTTTTATAATCAAACATATTGCTTATAATTCTAATTTTAACTTAATTTTTAACACCACCACAATCAAATGGTCTTGTAGTAAACAAAAATAATATTATTTGTTCATATGACATATAGCTGGAATTTTAAAGTTTAAGATCAAATCCATTTGATATTACAAAAGTGAAAACTCTTAGATCCCATCGATGCTCATTTTTGATGGCAGATAGGAACAGACACATTTTACTTTAAGAAAATTATTGAAAGCTTACACAAGCTTTGTACAACGATACGAAAGAGAAGAAAGATTATATAATAAAAGTTTACTACCGTAAGTAGGTTAGCTAATATAAGTACTCCCAATATGATTCTATATGATTATTACAGGCACAATAAAAGATTTAACCCCAGGAATCAGCTTTGGCAATGCCTTCTTACAATGAGAACCATATCAGGTAATGTTGTAAAATGTAACATTATTTAATTATAAGGAAATTAAACTAAGTAAGACTAGGTAATATTTATTGCCCAGTTTTGCTGGTGCTGGCGGCTGCTGCTGCCGCTGCCTGTGTTGCATGATGTTTGGCGACGGCTTCTTGGGCTTTGCTGAGCTGTATGTATCCTTCGTGGGCACGCGAACGGAGCTCGCTTTCGACACTTTTGTTAACCGATTTTGAAATGACCGCCTTAATTTTTTGCGTTTCATTGAATTTGCCTTTCTTCGCTTGGATGGGAGCATCTGTAAAATGCAAGCAAAATGTAATTAAATAGTTTTACATTATTATTGATCTACTCACTTGATCGACGTGTGAAGGCTGCTTGTTTCTGCTGTTTCTTCTTGTTTTGTATGGCAGCCGGTAACTTAGCTTTCTTAAATTTACCTTGTGGCATTTTGCTGCTAATAAACAATAACTACGCTAAAAGCACGTTTTTGTATGATTGTTTTTATTTTGCACAGCTGATGGCCAATTCGCTGTGTGGTGGTCAGCCGATAACGATGAGCGCAAAATCGAGCATGTTAACGCATTTAAACCTCTGTTAAACTTCTGTTATATACCTTATTCTTTAACGAAAAGACGAATTGTACAATTCCCTTTCGTAGTAAATATTTAAGCTTATCGAAAATAATATGCTATCTTTGAATTCCTTAAACAAACAGAAACGAAAACAGAGCGATTATTCATCGAATATTATCTTTTGCTACTACAAAAACAAATTCTACATTCAATGCAAAACGCAAATTATTATTGTGATATTTGTTTTAACAGATAATAATTTAACATTTAAAAGCGCTAAATATTGTAAGTTGTTATATAATTTTAAATGTTTTTTTTTTGTTTTGTTGTTGTACATATATGTATATTTATAACTATAATTATTATTTTCATACACATAACTAAAATCTACAACGCGCTTCCGATTTAAACTCGTATTTGTATTTAATGTTTGCTGTTTTGTCTTTGCTCGCTTGGCGCGCGCTTTTCCTCACTTTGTGATTAATGCATTATATTGTTTTTTTTTTGTATTATTTTTTATAAAAATAGTTTTAGAAAATTTTAATGAATTATTAAATATGTGTGTGTGTGTAGATGTTTATGTTTCTATTGTGAAACGTATGTGAAACAATTAACTCAATTTTCCGACTATAATGCCAGTTACGACTAATCCTATTATCACAGCAATCACTAGAAGTATTAGTATCTTACGGCGGTGGCTATAACGACTGGCAGCCGCTTTCTCCAATTCGCTGCGCCCCTCTTCCACATTAACGGTCGTATGTTCAATGGTTTCCTCGATGGTGCCTGCAAATTAGAAATTTCAATATGGTAAAAATATTCATATGGTAATAATATTTTGATATGATTTTTGATTTTTGCGGTTGGGTTTAAAAATTCATTTGTATTTTTTGATGGGTTTTTCCCAATCAATGCAACAAATTCTGGACCATTTCCAATTTAAATACCCCCGAAACCTTATAAAACTTATAAATATTTCTTATTTCTTTAATTTAAATTTAATGCATTTCATTTTTTATATAAACTAGCTTAAACTTTTTGCATTTAAATACCCCAAGACATTTTATAATTATTTCTTAGTTTTTTTTTTTAATTTAAATGTAATATTCAATTTAATATTTCTACAATTTATATTTGAAATTGAATTATATTTTTAATTTAATTTCAACTATTTTATACTTTTATACTTCTTATATTTCTTGGACTTTTTAAATAAATAAACTATTGACAGCTGATCGAACAGCTGCCTCATATAAAAGTCAAAACAGAATCGTTATCGAAACAGGAAATCGATATGACAACATATTCCGAATTTGAAAATATCTTTAATGTTTGGGGATTGATTGTACTCACCGACCACCGCTCCCTGCTCAGTGACCAAGTTGCTCAGCTTGTTCATGATGACATTCACATCGATGATGTCTGCCTCGATTTGTTCAACTTGGCGCTGACGCTCCACGAGCATATCGTGTTGGCGCTCGAGGCCCGCCTGCTCCTCCCGCTGCTCCTGCAGCAGCTGCGATCTGGCACCGATCTCCGATTCCTGCTCGGCAGCGGCAGCCTGATAGCTACGCCGGGTGGCCAGCGAAATTCGCTTCTGCTGCGTTGAGTATTTCTCGACAACGTTCTGAAACTCATGAGTCAGTTTATCCAGCTGCAATTTCTGCTGGCGATCGCCATGACGCACAACGGCTTGGAGCCGTTGCAAGTCGCTGCTGGTTGCCTGGACACGGGTATTGGTCTTTTTATTGATGCTGTGTATTTTCTCGCGCAACGCATTCAAATCCTTGGGGGTGCCAATCATTTTAAGTTGCTTCTCCAGCTGCTTGGTGCTACTGTTGATCGCCGTGATATTGTGGCCAATATCCTCGCTCAGCGAGACAAACTCTGTAGGACTGAAACCGGAATTGCCCGAATTGGAGGCAGCCGCAAAGCTAACCTCGGGTGTGGCACTCGATGTGGCACCATAATCACGATGTGAACTGCCGCCTCCAGTGGGATTATTGAGTGCCTGTGACATGATAGCAGCCCTACTCTCTGTCTGTGGTTCCTCTTTACAAATTTAATCACTCCAGATCTGTGTCTCTGATTTGTCTTGGTTTTCTTCTTTTTTTTTGTGGGTGGTGTGTTCTGTCTGCGAATACAAAGAACCTGAATTTGAGTTATACTGTGTTGTCGGCCTCCAAGCATACCGCAACTATCTGCAAACTAATGCGCCTCACATTACACAAGCAAACAAACTCGAACTGCGAGCTAAACAAATGATTCACTTTAAGCTCACAGAGTTTATCAGACAAGCTAACATATGACCAATATACACACACACACACGCACGCACACTAACACATATATACAAACATATGTACGTCGTATGTATGCGGGTGCACAACAGACCAACACACAAACACACACATGTTCACAGTGGTTGCCAGCATTTATATGGCTTCGAATTATTAGTATTAGTTACCTAGGATTTACTTCAGTGGGTAAGTTGATGGCCAAGTTTCTTTTTAACTAATTTGTCCAGTGCGCAAGCCTTTCACTGCATTACACACAAAGACACAACTTATTATCGATAAGTACAATACTTTTACTAGCTATGCTTTGCAGCCCTGCACTTAACACATTTGACAGCACTGAACACTGATAAGCCAAAGAAATTGCGCGCCAAACTGAAAAGCCTGAATTACAATATTACAATTACAATCAGACAAATAAATTATGTTCACGTCTCATGATTTCTAAAAACATGACTTGTTTTACAAATTTTTTCTTGAACATTAAAACAACGCGAAAACGTTTGCCAAAATTCAATTGCAACTTTAAAATTGCTCTCGATAAAACACATGTGACGGCGATTATTTAAGCAACTTTGTATCGATAACAATTGAGAGCTGTTAGAAAAGTGTTGCTAAATGCACCCTACATTTGCGGAAATTGTCACTCCATAATAAAGACAAATACTTTTTGTTTACGTTGTTTTTGTAATTCCGTAGCTTTAACGTACAGAGTTATGCTAAAAAGTAAAAATCCTCATTACTCTTGTCCCTCTGGCTGTCTCGCTGGCTGGCATGTTATTTATTTAGTGGGTCTTGGCGGCCAAACGCTTGTCGCGCTCCTCCGAGATGCTCAGCTTGACACCCTTGCCCTTTGGCAGGGAGATGTAGGGTTTGTTGCCCTTGCCAATGATGAATACGTTGGTCAGCCGAGTGGCAAACACATGTCCCTGCGAATCCTTAATGTGCACAATATCGAAAGAGCCGGGATGACGCTCACGGTTAACGACGGTGCCAACACGTCCCAAATTCCTGCCTCCGGTGATCATGCACAGATTGCCTGCGAATTTAAATATAATGTTTATTATTATGGTCAATCTATTTTTGTTTTGCTTCAAATGTAATTGCACGTAAAAGTTACTGAAATGGCTGATAAAATGCACAAATCAGAGACCGTCGTATCAAAAATTGCTTTGGGCTTTGTTTTTGAACCACGCAACTTGAATTTGAATGCGTTTTGTGGTCTTCGAACCAGCCAAGAATATTCATAAAGTCTCTTTAGCACCTACCCGAATCGAACTTGATGTAGTCGGTGATCTTTCCGGATGCAATGTCCACTTGCACCGTATCGTTGGCGTGCACCAGCGGATCGGGATAGCGGATGGTGCGTCCGTCATGCGTAACCAGAAAAGGAACACCCTTGGCACCCAATTGTGTCTTGCGCACCTTGCACAGCTTGTACTGCAATAGCCAGAAAATAGTATTTAATAATAAATAATACAAATATTGAATATTTAATAAAGAAATCTCTTAAATCTAGCCTAGTTTATAATGGAATTAGGTTGATTTGTAATTGCACGTAAAAGTTACTGAAACGGCTGACAAAATGCTCAAGAATCAGAGACCGTCGTATCAAAAATTGCTTTCGGCTTCATTTTGAACCAATTAGCGTATGGGTAAAAAGTAAACACTAAACGGTCTTCGATGAAGCCCACGATAAACTAATTCCAAGCGATGCTCTTCCCGTATTCCCTTTCTTCTTACCTTTGCCTCCTCAGCGGAAATGCGATGAATGGTGAAACGACCCTTGACATCATAGACCAGGCGGAAGAATTCACCCGTCTTCTCAATGGTGATGACATCTACAAAAATTACATTATAGAATAAATAAGTAATATAAATGAATAATATACATAATAAATTAAAAATATAATTTAAATAGAAATAAATTAATAATTTAAATATCATAATGTAAATAAATTGAATATTAATATTAAATAAATAATAATTAAATATAAATAATAAATTAAATAAATGCAAATTGAAAATTGGCCTTCTCTTCGTCGACTCACCCATGAATCCCGCTGGATAGGTGGGATCGGTGCGCACCTTGCCGTCGACCTTGATGAGACGCTGCATGACAATTTTGGTCACCTCGGCGCCATTCAAAGCGTACTTGAGGCGATTTCTCAGGAAGATCAACAGCGGCAGCGATTCGCGCAGCTTATGTGGACCGGTCGAGGGACGGGGGGCGAAGGCGCCTCCCAATTTGTCCAACATCCATGCCTTGGGTGCCGCTAAGCGCTTCAAATGTTTCTTAGGTCCACGAGCCTAAAAAATTTTTACTCAAATTAAACCCAATTCTTTTTTTTCGATGACTCGGCAACAACAAACAAAAACTCGAAGTTTTTTCATTTAAACGAACGCACTTTCACATAAATGCTCACATATTCAACAATCGCATAGTTTGTAGCGATATTTTTGTTATATTTCACTGCGTTTTTGTTTGTATTGCGCGTCGATGTCAGCGTATTTAAATTGCATTTATGTTTTTAGTCTTACCATCTCGTACGATACGTAAAAAAGGAAAGGAAGTTGGTGCGCTGTCAAAGCATTTGACAACTGTTGGCAGCGTTGCCATCACGCTTCACTTAGTGTGACCAACGCCGATGAAAACAATGTTGCATAACGTATACACGATTAGGGTTGTAAGGAGGGCGCCCTCAATTCTTCGAAATTCAAAATGCCAATGATTTCTTTTACAATTGTTTATTTTTGTTGTTGTATGTATTATAATAATTAATAATGCTTTCAAACGCACACAATTTTCGTTTTAGGTATTATTAATTACATTCTGTAAAACCTACTTAGACATTAAACAGTAGTGTTCTAAGCAAACATTGTTGCCAATTAACTGCAGCAACTTGCATTTTGCCAAACGTTTTGCGTTTGCTTTATGTATTTTTTTCTCTTTTTGTTTTTGTATCCAAAGCACATTGGCTTTTTTTTTATTTATATGTTTGTTTTTCTGGTTTTGTTTTTTTTTTTTTGAGAAATATTTTGTTTTTTCTTTTTGTACATAATACAAAAAATGTATTTATCATGCACGAAGTCCTCTTATATTGATTCTGACGCGCAATGAGACTTAAAGTGTATGAAATAAATTGTTAGAAATATTAATTAATGTGTAGTATGCAAATATGAATGTTACGTTAGTATTTAAATGGCTACGCATGTCTGTCCAACGGTCTGTCCGTCTCTCAGCTTGTCTGTCCGTCCATATGCATATGTATCTTTTTTTATGAGGGAGTTCGCATTAATGTTAATGTTATTTCATTTCTCTTTTTTGTTTAGTCAGTTTATTGTAGCTGTTCTTCTTCTTCCTCCTCTTGATGTTCTTCTCTTTGTTGTTGTTGTTGTTTTTTCAGTCCAACTTCTTCATGGATTTGAGTGCACGCTCGCGCAGCTGTTTCTCCAGATCCTCATTGATGCCGGGATTGCCAGTGATGAGCAACGGCAACTTTCCATTCCGCTTGGCAGCCTTCGTGGAAAGCTCCTCGTCGTCGTCATCGCCACCGCCGCCGCTGCTGGCGTCTGAGCTGCTTGCGTCTTGCCGATGCTTGGCGTTGCTGCTGCTCTTTCGCTTATGCTTCTTATGCTTCTTGCTCTTCTTGCTGTGCTTCTTATGCTTCTTGTGTTTCTTCTTCTGCTTCGATGACGACTCAGCCTCCGACGCAGAGTCGCTTTCACTTGTATCGGCCGCTTTCTTTGATTTCTTACGTTTCTTTTTGGGCAAACGTTCATCCTCCGATTCGCTGGCCTCACCTCCCCCTCCACCACCACCCCCGCCCCCAACCCCACCACCGCTTCGCGATTTTTTATGACTTCGCTTGCGGCTTCTGTCGGAGCTTTTCTGCTTGCTGTCCGCCATTAACGCATCCGTTGGCAGCAAATCATTTGACATGCTGCGCTGCAGTTTCTTGTCCCCGCTGCGGCGCTGCTTCTCCGACGACGCCACAGTCGTTGTTGTTTCCTCTTTACGCTTCTGGTTCGCCACCAGCTGTTGCTGCTTCTTCTTTGTCGCCTGACGCTCATCGCTGCTGTCGTCATCGTCACTGCGCTGCTCACTGCTGCTGCTGCTGCTGGCAGAGCTGCGCAGCGCTTTAGCCTTGTTACTTGACGACTTCGCCGACGCTGACGCAGACTTTGACTTTGACGTTTTGGCGCTGCGACGCGCCTGTTGACGCTGCTGCTGCTGTTTCTTGTGCAGCTGCTGCTGCTGATGCTGATGGTCGTCGTCGTCGCTGTCCTCGCTGTCGTCGGCGCTGCTGTCGGAGCTGCTGCTTTGACTTTTGTTGCCGCCGCTGCGAACTTTCTTTGGTGCAGACGCCGACGCCGCTGCCGACGCAGCGCTGCGCTCATGCGATTTAAGGAACGGCGACGGTGTGCGCGACAAACTGGCAAGACTGCGGCGTCGCTGCAGCTGCGACGGCGGCTGCGACTGCGACGGTGGCGGCTGCTGCTGCAGAGACTCTGATTTGCGCAGCGACTGCGACTGCTGCTGCTGCTGCTGCGACGGTTGCTGCTGCTGCTCCTCGCGACAGAGATCGATGGTGTTGACAGAGGGACCGGCAAATTCCACAGAACGACGTCGACGCTGCTGCTGCGGCTGCCTTGAAGTGGATCGACTGCGACTGCGACTATGCTGGCTGCGCTGACTGCGACTGCGCGAGCGACTGCGACGTCGCGGCGGCAGTGGACTGACGCTGCGCTGCTGCTGCTGGCGACGCGGCGGCGGCGGACTAACGCTGCCAGAACTGGAGCGACCCATGCGCTGCTGCTGCTGCTGACTGCGCAGCGGCTGACGCTGCTGATCCCAGCGATTAAAGTTCGCTGGCGGCGAACCGCGACGCTCGAAGCGACGTCCAGGCGAAAACTGCTTGCGGAACTGCTGCTGCTGACCCGAAGGCGGCTGCTGCTGCTGCGGCGACTGGCGACGATCGCGTGAGTAGCGACGCTGCTGCTGCTGCGACGACGGCGGCAGCGGCGACTGACGTCGATCGACAAAGCGACGTCCGCCGCCATTGGGACTATTCTGCCTGGCCTGCCAGTGGATGCGACCGCCCCCGCCGCCACCCCGATGATTGTTGGGACTGTTGCCACGGTGCAGCTGCTGCTGCTGCTGCTGTTGCTGCCACATGTTGCGCGGATTACCACCACGCCCACGTCCACCGCCGCCGCCGCGAAAATGCATCGGCGACGAGCGTCGCCGATTATTAAATCTGAATGCAGAAAAATTATGAAAATTGTACATTAGAAAAACGCGTTGAAAAACTTCTGAACAAATTGTCAAGTGTCGAGTATCGAGTAAAGATTAATGAGTATCGTTAATTGAAGTCCTGATTGTGACAAGTCGAATTGACACTTTTAAAATAGTCTCCATAAAATACAAAGCTAACTATTTAAAAATGACAATTAATAAGTCTAATAACAAAATTCATTTTTTGGCCGATACAGTTCTGGATATATATATATATATATATATATATATATATTATGTTACAGGATAATTGCATTCCTGATTATTAGATACCTTCAAATGCACTAATTTCCTATCCATTTTTCTTTTGGGTTTATTATTCTTTTTAATGTAACTTTTAGTTTTTTGATTGATTGATTGAGATAATTTGCAATATTCCTTATTGTAAATTCAGGGGGGTTTTTAAGACAAAAATTATCAAAATAAATCGCTTATCAAAATTTTAGCCTAAAGTGATCACGTTGATCAAGTTGCTTCAAATATAATTCTTCTCAATAATTGCTAATTTAGTTTAATTGTTGTTCAAAATGCTTATCGAAATTACAACCTTTTAACTAAAATTTAGTTTTAAATGCTCATAAAGAAGACTAAGACTAAGTTGCTGTTATTCTTCGTTCTTTCTCAAATTAATGTTATATAATCTTTCAATTGGTTGATCAAAGTTTACAATACATTTTAATATCTTTAGCTGCTCTCTATATTTGCTAATTTAGTTTAATTTCAATTTTAAATGCATATAAATATTTCTATAATTGCTATCTATTTTTGCTAATCAAGTTTTTTGCGTGCCTATAATTCTCATAAATATTTCTTATTATTGTTTAATATTAATATTATATTTAAATTTAAAGTTAATTTAATTGAATCTATTTTTTACCGACTTTAGATGGCATTAAATAAATAAATAAATACTGTACATTTTAATTGCTTAATTATTTAATTTATGTTTTACTTTTTGTACTTTGACTGACTTTAGGTTTAGTTAACTAAATAGATTATTTAATAAATGGGATTTAAATGATGGATTCTTACCGCCTGGGTGATCTGGAGTAGCGCATGGGCGATCTGGATAGCATGCGGGAGCGCGAGCGACGTCGCGAATTGGAGCGCTGGAAACGTCCACCGCCGCCTTTATCCTGGCGAATGGGACTGCGTCCGCGTGGCGAGAAGCGTCTGCCATGCGGCGGCGGACGACGTCCACCGCCACCGCCTCCTCCAGCTCCACCAAATTGGCGGGCACGAGCATCACCACGCTCCATGGAGCTGGCGGAATCATCTCGGTTATTGCGATACTGTCGCTTATTCTGCACGCTATTCTTATTGCGCCGATGCTCAAACTGTTGATCCTGCTGGCGCTCGGGCGAGAGCGAGATGCTGCTGGCCCGGGAACGGGAGCTGCGTCGGCGACGATTGCTGCGCACCGAGGAGCGGGATGAGCTGCGGGAACGGGAACGCGCCGCTGCAGAGCCTTTGCCTCCTGCTGAGCCTTTGCCTCCTGCTTTGCCTCCACTGCGTGATCTAAAAGACAAATAAAAGTTATCAATTGCCATGGAAACAGAATTGTTACTGGTTAAACTTCATTTTCAATAACGAGCATTGATTGACATTTCTTACTCAGATTTTACAGATAACATAATATATATTAACAGATATTACAATGTTGCTTAATAAATCATATATTAGTTTCGAGGGAATTAAAAAAAAACTGCTTCTGAATAATTTAAAATTTAGAAATGTTGCAATTCCCAATTGAATAAATAATCCGTTTGAAATATATAATATCTCAGGACACAAATATATATATGCATATAAGAATCTACATCTAAATCTACATCGTTGATAATGTCGAAATACATTTATAATTATATATCGAATAATGTCATTGTCAAGCTGCCTCTTTAGTAGAATGTGTGCGATATTAAAATAGTTCATAAAATGTTGCTTAATAAATCAAATTTAAATTTAGACTAGAGAAATAAAAAAATGCAATTTCTGCGTATTTAGATTTTGAAAAGTTGCAATTTTCAATTCACAAAATAAAGATGATCTGCGCCTGGTTAAAATCTGTACACATAAATATATATATATATGTCTACAGTTGCGAAAAATATAATAACTCACTCTCATAAGAAATATTTTCAAAGACGTATTTCTTAAATTTGTAGTTTTAAGAAACTTATGAATACGATTTTCAGAAGTGGAAGAAGAATCTTAGAAAAGTGAGAAATAGAAAATCCTCACTTTATTTAGATTTTTCAACTTAAGAAATTCTAAATAAATGGAAGAGAAAACGAACACAACAAAAAAAATTGTATATATAATAATAATAATTGTGTTGCTATAATTTGGATCCCTATAAGAATGTTTATCGAGCATCGTTTTAATTAATTGAATTTATATTGCAATCAGTAAGTTGAGTCAACCTGAAGTTTGGAGTCGATTTGTACCTGGTGCGACTGCGCGATGAGCGCGAACGTGAACGGGATTTGGCCTTGGATTTGGTTTTGGAGGCGGCTGCCGACGACGGCGGCGACGACTTCTTTGCCACAGAGTGTCGTCCATTTAGAGTCTTTGCTGTGCCACCAGCCGCATCCGCTGAGCGATTGGATCGTGAGCGGGAATGTGAGCGACGGCGACTCGAACGCCGCTCTCTGGATGTGCTCGATGGAGGAGCTGCTGCTCCAGCTCCTGCTGCTGATGTTGTTGTTGTTGCACCCGCTGCTGCACCAGTTGATGCAACTGGTGAGGCACCACCACCCGCACCACGTTTGCGTAGACGTGCCGCTGCATTTGCGGCAGCTTCGCGTGCTGCACTGTTAATGGGCGGCGGTGCCGCAGTGTTGTTGTTGCTGTTGTTGTTGGACGAGGCAGCCAACATTTTGGACGAGATGGAGCGACTGCGTGAGCGAGACTTTGATCTGTCGTGGCGTCGCTGCTTGTCCCTCGTGCGTGACTGCGAACGTGATCGGGAACGGGAGCGTGTCGAGTCACGTTGACGCTGCTGCTGCTGATGATGCTGGCGTTGCTTTTGCTGCTGCTGTTGCTGCTGCTGCTGCTGTTGTTGCTCCTCCTCGCGCTTGAGTATCTCATCCTTTTTCTGCTGTATGAATTCGGCAGGAATGCCACTGTCGCTGTCCTGGGCGGACAGCAGCAGCGACCAGAGTTCACCCATAAATTGGCGCGCATTGCGACCGTTGAGGAAGCCAGTCATATTGATTTGCATCTTTTTGGGGCACGGATATTTCTCCTCCTCCAGCTGATTGTAGACAAATTCAACGACAACATCATCCTCGATATGCAGAATATCGGTGATTTTCTTGCTTATCCAGGGACGCAGCACATCCAACTTGACCTTGGACATGTCCACGCGCTTGTTGAGACAATCCCCAAATTTCATTTGCTTCATTAGCTTCTTCTCCTTGTCGCTGAAGCGCGTGTCCTGCTGCTGATTGGTGCCCTAAACGAATAAAAACACATAGAACATTTATATTTCATTTTCCAACACTAGATTAATTGAGTGTGCATAACGACATTATTCGCCTATTTGCACACACACACACACACAAAACATAAGCAGAGCATAACAAGAACTGCTGCTGATCTTAAAAAAAAATACACTCAAATTTTTGCGGCTCTCTCTTCTTCTTCGTGTGCAGTTCTGCAGCGCCGCCTTTTATCGATTGTATTGGAAGCATCGGCTGCTGTATATGTATGATAAGCACCCCTCTGCTTAACTCAGCAGAACTCAGCACAAGGCGTAACAACAACGTACCGTGAACATCATTTTGAGATGAGAGCCACTTGCACTCAGCTAGCTAGCGTTACGTGGTTTTTGACTGCGGCACCGGCCAACAATTTGCGTTGTTTTTATTTCTGTGTGTTTTTTATATCATGCCACACAATCGATGCGCGCGCTTCCCAAATCAACAACAAAAATAATATTGTAATATTTGTAGCTGTAACCCGGCACCACGCAACAAAAATTGTCACCTATACACACACACACACACGCACACACTCGGCGTGTGTGTGTTAGTGCAAGTGCGGGGCGACTAAGTTTGCGGTACGGTAAATGCACACGAAAACAAAACACCGTTGCAATAAGTGCAATAATCACACAATGTTATTCTGTTGCCAAACACAAGATAGCACTTGCTATAAATTTGGCCAGCTTTTGGTTGGCCTTTTTCTAATTTTTCGCTAAAAATTTATGCGTGTAGCTAGTGCTGGCACGAAGCAAAACGATACACGGCAACCGAGAGATGAGACGATAGTTGCAGCGGCGGCGCATGCACTTTAACCGGAAAAAAAAACTATCGATAGTGGTGAGCTTCAGTGGGCCTTGATAACTCACCTCAAGCTGCCCAAATATATCGTACTCGATAAGTTTTCATTTAAAAAAGAAAAGCAATTTCAGTAAACGGCGCTTTTTGGCGGCAATATTTTATTGTTGTGTTATGAATACTTGCGTATGGGTCTAAATTAAATTCGCTGCGGCAACAGCCAAGGTTTATTTAAAATAATTTAATTCATTTAAAATTAGTACATACAAATAAATTTTAACAAAACGTTAAAAAAGGCGTGTTATAATTAATTTACTATTTGTAAATATAAACTAAATTTGTTTGTTTTGCCATGTAAATTGTTCATTTAATCTGTCGGTTTTGCTTTCTTTTCTTTTTTTTCTGACTACAAATCTAATAATTTGTATTGCAGCTGATGGTGCGCGCATTTAATGATATTAAGTTTAAATGCATAAATTTTAATTAAAAACTTAATACTAGCATTATTTTTCGAGCAAAAATCTATTCCATTTTTACAGCGACAGGGAGAGATAAGAGAGACAAACTAGAAACGAATAATAAATAACATTGAACATTTGATTTTGCTACAAAAAATAATTCCACATTTAAGCACATTCTGCGGCTCCACCCCATCATACGTAACCTCGCTCAGTTCTTTTGGTTGCTGTTGTGTACCAGTAAGGATCACACTTTCGAATCCCACCATTCCACATCCCACCTGCCATCTCCAACTCCCTCCCTCTACGGTATCATGTTCGGCTCCTGAGCGGCGCCCGTCGAATACTTCGGCTTGCAAACGCATCCACTCTCAACCAGCACATAATCCTGGCCGGTCAGCGTTACGGGGCCAAGTGGTATAACCAGGAACAAATACGGCACATATGTTTGCGTGCACTCGCCGCGCACCACGTCGCATTCGGAGGATCTGCAAGGAGTGAAGATATATTGTTATTTATAATCACTTTTATAATTTATATATGAATATTTATTTCTTACATTCTAGATTTAAAGTTATACAAGAATAGATTAGCAAGCCAAACAAATCCAATAATAAATTAATTGATTTGCCAACGTTATCGTTAGTTCGATCACACATATAAATATCTGATCACAATATTACCGTTACAATTTGGTATGCTTTTATTCAAATCATGCCTGACCGCTTTGATCGTTCTCTTTTGTTCGCTCACGAACTTAAAAGAAACACAGCATAAGCCCGATTCTGGTTCGTGAACGAACTTGAGCGAAAAAATAAGCTAACGATCGCTGAATTGGTTGATCGATAATGTGCGATCAGTAGATTTTTGATATACACTTATAAAGTTGCGAAATAAAAAAACATTAGTTTTTGAATTTTGATTTTTAATACATTTTTTAGTATTCCCCTATAAATTAAATTTGTATTGCTCCTGAACATCGATTCCGTATACATCTATATATATATATAAATCATTTATTTGTAATTTGCATAAATACAAATGCACATTTGAATTCTTCTATATATATTGAAGAGTTAAATGGTCAACGGAATCGAAGGGATTGAGAAACTAGCTGTGCTAATTTAGAGTATTGGCAGGATTGTTTTTTCTTTCTCACGTTTTTTAGTCTTCTTCCACTTCTAAAATCGAATTCGTATGATATTCCTAAACTGACAAATTTATAAAAGATACTTTTGAAAACATTTCTTTTGAGAGTGGTGATATTATTTTTTTTAGCCAGTGTGTGTAAATATTCACATATGTATGTATGTATATATAATATATTTGCACACACATTAATTATGGGTTTTTCGTTTCGTTTTATTATTGAATACTCACTCGCACACCTCGAAGACGACCTGCTGCAGCAGATCGGGAAACTTTTGCACAATGGTCACGGGCTGACCCGAGGTCAAGCTAACGCCATACATGGGCGCCGTGGTGTTGTAGCGCGTCTTGCAGAGTCTCGCCGGCGTATCGCTTTTGCACTGTTGCGCCGGCGTAGCGTTCTTTAGCGAGCGACCTAAGCGAATCGCAAAGATATACAAAAATGGAAAAAAAAAAAAAACAACCAGTTAAGCAATCATCAATCAAACAGAGTCAGTCAATCAATCAATCAATCAAACGATAAAATCAATTGCGGCCACGCCACGATTATCATTAGCGTATTTGCGGCTGACCGACTTACCATAACGATTGCTTCCGATAGCCTCATTGTTCACCTCATCGTAGGCCCTCAACAATGCACTCGTCGTTATTGCTGGATCCAACGTGCTGGGCAATTTACTTTGGCGTCCACGTCGCGAATTTCCGTTCCAATTGGAGAATGTGCGCGCAACGGCCGCACTGCAATACGTATGTAGATGAACGGAGCAGAGGCGTTAGAAAAGAAAGTTTTGCATACTTGACAACACTGACTCATACAAGGCACACGCACACATATACACAAATGCATACCTGGGATAAGGCGCATTATTCGGACCCAGGCAGTCTAGTGAATCTGTCAACGCATCGCCCGACAAATATTTAAGTCCACGCGCACCGACGCATTTGCTGGGCGGCGGCGCATCGTCAGCGCTGCTGCTGCTGCTGCTGCTGCTGAAGCTCGGCCACAGCGCCGCGTTGGCGCATCTGAGTGCAATGCTGATGACGCAGAGTGCCGTTAGCTGCTGTAAATCGAGAGAGAAAGAGAGAGAGATAGAGAGCAAAAAAAAACAAAAAATAAATAAAAACCGTTTGCATGCATATCTCAATATATTATCTATGTATATTGTTAGCGGCCAAGCCTCTTTCTTCGTGTAGTTTTGTGCTCATAACGGTAATTGCGAACATGCCAATAAGTGTCAGGTCAAAAACGGCTGCGTCATCCGTCATAAAGACAACAAATACCACAATGCTATACCCAGCAGGAAACCCAGATTACAGGTGAATCAGCCGTTTGGCATGAGATTTTTTTAAACAACTCTCATAAACCTTATAAAGTGCTTTTATTTCTTAAATTTAAATTTACAAATTTGTAATTTTATTTAATCTATTTTTTACTTTTTTTTAAGTTATCTTTTAGTTAGTTCTTATTTCGCTTTAATTATCTAAAATATACTTGATGTCTTACTACATTATTACAGTAATGCTTTTTAGCAGCAACTGCAAAGCGTTGACTGAAAACCAATCTAAAAATTGTGCACATATTCTTAGGGAAAAATATTTAAAAAAAAGGTATCTCATCAAACAAAAACTCATTTGTAAATAAATATTAAATAAACACATATGCTTGAGTTGTATGCCTTTCAGCAGCTTATCAGTTCTAAGACGATTACAGTCAAAATTGGCAAATTTTATATTTTATGTTTTTCATTTGACTCGTTATTCTTTATATTATAATTTATTTATTATTTATTCATTGGCTACGTTTGAAAATAAAATCAGAATTTAATTTTTTTGAACATTTTTTAATAACGGAATGGAACGATCGACTAAAAGCGGGTAATTTTTGTAATAAAATATACACAAATATGATGAGTATTTGAATTTTACTTGTTGCTTCATAAAAACCGTTTTATCTAAAGGCATAAGCAGTTAGCCTATTAGTGAAGTACTCTGTCTCTGTCCCTCTTTGTTTAGGCCTGGCCTGTGTGCTTGGGGTTGTAACTCCTAATATAATTTCCCAGTTCCCAGAAATACAAACAAACTATTAAATGACGTACATATGTTATGTATAAATACATAAAAAGCATGAGTAAATAATTTCGTTTTCATCATCAACAAACCACAAGCTCAATAATACAAATTTCTATTTTCTTTAAATAAAGGCGGGCGGTTACAGACTTGACCCGCTTCAACTTTTTTGTAGTAGTTGTTAAGCAAATTAGTAGAACTCATAAATAACCACAACAACAACAGCAACATTAGCTACAAAAAACAACCGCAATCGCCCCCATAATCGTACGTGAAAGTAAAAACAAAAGAAGAAATTCCAATTGGCGCGTCCAAAAGCGGACAGCAACAGCAATAACAACAACAACAACAACCACAGCAGCAAGAAAGATGTGAATACATTTTTCAAACCACATGCAAAGTTGGCTTCTAATACGGTCTGAACTTTTTATTGCCACTACTTTTAGTTTTATGTATATCGTTGGCTTGATTTTTTTCTTTCTTCTTTTTTTTTTGGTATTTTCTTTCACTTTCTCTGTGCAGATTTTTGTTGATCAAGTGTTGGCCTAACCAAAAAAAAAAAAAAAACAAAGGCAAGAGGCCAACGCCGAAAAACCAGTTAAGATTGAATCAAATTGCAGCAGCACAAAAAAAAGAGATTCCCGTTGAGAAAATCATTTCACGTATGCCACTAAAATGATAATAAGCTCAAGTCTGATCGTCGCCGTCCCCCGACAAGTTGTAACGTGCACTGGCCCCCCACCACTGCCAGACCAGCATTTGATGTTTATCAATAATAAATAAGAAAAATTAAAAAAAATAATTGCAATGGCAATGCGAAGTTATTTTCAAATTGATTTAAAACATTTCTTTTATTATTACATTACACATGCCTGTCTATTATTACCGTTGTCTGCGTCTTGCGTGATAAAATTGTTCATTTCATGCGAAAGCATTAAAAAATAACGACAAAACTAAACTAAACTTTCTTTTCAATTGCACATTTGACAAAATGTTTGAAGTGACAAGCTAACTCATTATGGCCCATTGCGTGTTTGCCGCTTGTGGGAAGTGAATGAAAGCGAAATTCTATTATTTAATTCTTTTCACAATTCACATTACATGAAATTAATGAACGGGCTTTTGTTGCTCTTTTCAGGCAGGTCTGGTCTGGTGTGGCCTGGTCTGGTCTGGTCTCACAGTCGGGGCTTCCTTCATTCGCAGTGGGGCCACTCTCACCTGAACTCGAAACTCAACGCTCGACGCTCGAAGCTCGAACTTTGGCTGGCCCTTTTGTCAAATTCTTCTGGTAGTTGTCATTAAATGCGTCCATTGTCAATGCCGGTTTTTAACTTTCTGTTTTTCGACAATTTCATTTAATAATCATTATAAATATATATATATGTACAGCAATGTATGTGTGTGTGTATGAAGCTTAGTTACTCCTCGAACTAATTTCACATTAATGACATTTTGAAGCATTCCAAGTTTCATTCGCCGTCGTGTGAATGACAATTGGCTGTCGCCGCCTGCCTCCAAGGCGAATTTTGATGAAAAGGCGAAAAGTCTAATGAGGGGCAATATATTCGTAACTAGCCAGCCGCTGACTGTTTGTCATCTTGCTCTGAGTTCATTGAAATTGACTGGACTTGGGGACTGTACACAGAAAGATGCAAATAATTATCATAATTATGATAAGCGATTTTTTTTCCTTCTCATAATTGGGTTAGAAATTGTAAAATCATGCATTAATCAAAAAGCCATTGAAGGCGCTTACGGCGACAATTTGAACTTTTTCGGACTAATGCGGCGTCATTAAGCGACGACAAAAGAGCGCTTACATAACAGAAACAGCAACAGCAGCAACAACAACAGTAACAGCGAACGTAAAACAGCAGCGGCAAACGCACTAAATGTCATAGTATGTATGTAAGTATTTATGCTGTGTGTGTATGTGTGTGTTTTTTTTGTCGTTGATGACTTAACGCGTAACAACAAATAAAAAACAAAGTAGACAAGGTGAGAAAGAATAAGAACTAAAACTACAGCAAAAGAAACAGCAAACTATAAAGAGCACACACACATACATATAAATATTCACATATACATATACATATGTGCAGACATATAAGGTGCCGTTATAACGAGGTTAACGACCCACATTCATCCATCTATCTCTGTCTCTATTTCTCAATCTATCTGTCGCAGATGTCGCACTCTTGGTATTTGTATTATTACCTGGCAGATCTTAGAAAAGCATGAGCATTTAATAAAGAATATTTAATTCTCAAACACAAAGCAACAATTGGCTCCTATAATGTGGGGCGCTCCCAGCAATAGTTCAAGTGAAAATTGGTTTCTGAAAGCAATGGGGCGACGACAGATAAAATTGACAGCCAGCAAACAAACAAACAAACAGCGAGCAACTCGCAACTGGTTTATTGATAAGCAGCTGTTGGCACGCAGAGAGCAGAGTTCCACATTTCATCCTCATCCTCATTCACATTCACATTCACACTCGCATTCACATTCACAATGGAAGTCAGTGGTGGTAATCTCTATTGATTGAAATAAATTACTATTCGCTTTGCTTTGGCTTGCTTTGCTTTGCTCTGCTCGGCTTGGCTTTGCTTGGCACAATTTTCAAGGTCTTTGTTGCTGCAGGATCCGAGTTGTTTCAATCTGTTGTACAACTTGTCGTGCATGTTGAACATTTGTCGAACTGTTCTCAGCGTAGCTTTGATTTTAAACCGTTGTTTTTTTCTCTCTTTCCATTTTCTGCGCTTTGGCGTGATAACCCCAAGCGACAAAACTTTCAATATGCGGTTTCTTTTTTTTATTTTCTGTTTTTCGCTTTGTATTTTTAGAGATATGCAAAGCACGTTTTCTCAGACACTGAAACCACGGTGCGCACGAGGATTGCCATTTGTCTCTGTAGCTTTAGCAGTGCTGCTGCTGGTGTGCGACAGAGATAGACGCTGACAAGTGCAATGGCTGCGGTTATTGCCGCTTCTCTCTTCCTCCCACACGCTGGATGACGACAGCTTTCATTTTGGGCTGCTTCGCATGCTGCGTGCGTTCTTTGGCCATTTGGCCATTGTCCGGCTGAAGTTGGCGGTTCGCGCGTGGAAACGAGGTTAAGAGCAAATAAAACAAAAAATTTCGCTGCCCCCGAGTAGAACCGAAATAATAACAATAATAATTAGATACAGTCGCTGACACTTTTACTCATTACGCCTTTTTTTTTTTTTGCTTCGGGCAGCCCAAAAAAAATTTCACTAAGCAATTCTACACGCTTTTTTATATTTGCTAGAGGCAGGCACGACTCATCAATTATGGGCTAAGGGCCAAGTACTGTTAGTTCTTGGCGCTACATTAAATAAGCCAGTTAACACAAACTTATAACAATTATCATATATATGTATAGAAGCAGACATAATTTTTATTTCCAAACGGCAATCAGAATCAGAAATGGCAACAATGGCAACAACATTTTGACCTAAATAGACTGAAAAGACTTCTTTGTTTTACAGTTTCAGGTTTTCATGCCGCTTATGCACCGTTTTGCAAATATTCAGATTGGTTGCTTCTAAGGTTGGGTTCCTCTGCTTCCTCTTTTAGTCACACTCAAGAGGAGGAATGAGGAATAAGAATAAGAACAAAACTGGCCACGCATGAATGAGATTTTCACGCTCAAAATATGAACACACACATATCCATATGTGTGTGTGTGTGTGTGTGTTTGTGTCAAAAGACCGTCTCCAAACATACACACACACACACTAACACTACAAATAACAAGAAAAAATAAATAAATAAAAAAGCAATAACAACAATCACGGGACACCGTATAAAAACCAAAGTATGAATATGTTTAGCCTACTTTTTATAAAAACTTTGCTTTCTGCCTGCGGCTCTTTGAATCAGTCTGGGAATTTGTTTTGAATCATCTTCATCACGGCTACTGAACACGTCTCTAACAGTCTTCAGGCGGAACGGGATTGCATCAACATAGTGTTAGTGTCAAAGGTTTGCAGATCGATGAGCTCAACTATATTAAGCTTAAGCAATCGCATAAAAAGAGGTTGAGTAAATAAAAAACTGCAGAATATTTCATTCGAAGTATTACTCAATCCGAAACGTGCTGATCTCTCAAAAGATTTTTGTTTAAGAATTGATCTTAGTTGCTTTTTAAGCTATTAATAGTATAATTTGTATAAGATATGTATGTTTTATAGTTACGCTCAGTTTTTTAATTATTGTTATTATTTATAAAAACTTATGAAAGCTGCTAAGTGAATATTTCTTGACAATGATTGATGCTGTTTATTTTTTAAATTGTTATTAATATTATTATTTGTATCAGATATGTATGTTTTATAGTTATGCCCATTTTTCTTTATATTATTCATATATGTATATATACATATATGATATATTTTTATTTTATAGATTCAAGCTCACCAATCAATTTAATTTTCAATGATTTTTAAATCAGTTTCAATGATCATGCCAAAATGCAAAAATTAATCTGTGCGAAAAATAATCAATTTGGATATATTTATAAAATATATTTAAGGGAAATCCCATAAGTGTATAATTGAAACGTGACACGACTGGCAAAAAGTGCCTAGTAAAAGTTATTTGAGTACGGCAAATTCATTAAAAATTCGTTTCGATAAGGCTGTAACTGAGAGTGTGTGTGTTGGGTGTGTGCGTGTGTGTGAGCACAGCAGGCAAAAAGAAAGTCAATGAAAGGTGCTAATTTCAACAAGTGATTGGCTGACAACACAAATAGGTCGTCGGCATCGTCGTTGACATGCCACAGAGCCAAGCAGAGGCAAGCAGCATAAATTCCTGATGAAGCGAAGAAGTAGAAGATGAAAAAAGCCTAGCAGCCAAACCCAAAATCGTTTAATCTTTAATGGACCCACCAAGGTGTTTCTGTGACTCTGCCAGGCAGGCTGCACATACACATTGCACTTACAGATTTATGTACACATGTACACACATATTTTTAGAGTTTTATGGCATACAGGTTTGCATCGTTAAAAGGAATACAGACACAACGACGACAACAACGACAAGAGAACAACAACTGAGAACAATGCCAAGAGCCAAAGAGAGTTTGCAGCCTGAGAGAAAACTTCAACTTGAAGCTGAAGCTGAAGCTTCCTTTGCAGGCGCTTTATTGGCTGCTGTTGCTTACTGTCTGTCTTCATACCCTGTACTAAACCTAAAAACTAACAGTAAACACATTGATTTCAAGTGTTAAGTAATTCCCTTTGCTCACCTCTTCAGTTTAGTTGATAAATCGAAAATATTTACTACTATTCAAGAATTTATTTTTATTTTAGCAAAGATTATTTTACAGCAGATACAATACAGAGTATCGGGCGATCGAGACCAAGAGAACTTTTTAGTTATTTTTTCTTCTTATTTCTCTTTTTTTTTTAGCTTATTGAGGTCACTTACTTTGACAGAACTTCTACTTAAGCACCGGTATTCCATTTTTAAAGTGTGTTGAGTTGTTTATTGATCTGCTGTACTTGGGAGCAGCTCTGTTGTTTTGTATGTTTAACGTTTTTTTCTTCTTCTTTTTGTTGTTGTTTGTGTGTATACAAATTTGATTTGCTTTCTTCACAGCACTCGATCGAAACACGTAACGGACACACGAGTCACAAAAGAATTTCAATTTCCACAGCTCAGCGTCTTTTTGGTCTTTTTAAAGGAGGAGTGTTGAGAAAACAACGCGGGACAGATGATGGCAAAAACAGCGAACCGAACAGCACGAGCGCTCACCTTGGACTGACGTGCACAGGTAACGTTTACCATTCCTTAAGCACTTGGCCGCCCCTCTGACGTTAGCTGCGCTTGCGACTGCGCGACAGCGCGACTGCGCAGCGACAGCGACGCATTGATCGTAACCTGTTGCCGCCGTCGCCGTTGCTGTTGTTGTAGTTGTCGCTTACTCTGGAATTGGAGAATTGGTCTTGGTCTCTGTTTCGGTGTCGGTGTCGGTCTCGCTGTCTGTCTTCGTATTGGCCACGGTCTAGGCCGATGTATGCCTGCGCGAGCATCGCAAAACTGCAGCAAAAGCAGCGGCAGGCGAACGCCAAAACACGCATGCAGCTCTGGAATGGAATGAAGAACGCACAATTCTGACGCAAAGCTGCGCATAAATCCCAAATGCAGCGTGTACGTCATTTTATTGTTGTAGAACCAACCATTTACCAACCATTTGTCAGCTGTCAGTTGACAGTTCAGTTTACTACAGTTGACAAAAAGTTTATGCATCATTTCAGAGATAATAATAACAATAATATTGATTAAAGAATCTTAAATAGAAACTGACTTTTAACGACAGTTTCTATTGTACTAATTGATTCATAACGACAATCAAGTGTAATAATTGGAGTGCTATCAGATGGCATAACTTATGGCATCAGAGTATTAAGCAGTCGGTTACGCCCGACTGCAACGTTCTCACTTGTAATAATTTAAAAATGTCAAGGGTAAATATTTTTAATTAAGGGAATTTTTTTTTAAGCTCTCGGATATATTCATTAATTCCTTAAATTTTATTAGGGTAGTTTTGAAACGTCCATAGGTCAACCCTTTATAGGTCAACCTTTGATGGACACACTCAGCAATCTACCTTCCAAGTTTGGCAGTCGACCTTCTACCTTCGATATCAGAGTGTCAAATAAATGCAGTTCCGCATAAATCAGGGCAAAAGTAAAATTATTACTAAAATCATTATTCTTATTATTCGAAAATTTTTATAAATTGATTATGTTTGTAATCGAGCTTAGAAAATACTGCGAGATGAGATTTAGAATTAATCACTGCATGCAAATTCAACAAATCAATATTGGTTTTTGTGTAATCAATTTAAATATGTCTTTGGGATAATGCCAGTCCTAATAAGAAGTACACATAAACTAACAATAGATCTTTAAATAAAGTGTCTTTTGTGTTTGTAACAAAGTGTGCGCTTATTTAGTAATCCCAAAGCTGATTCAAAATGAGTTGGCTTACTGAAAACAATCAAAATATGTATATTAAGAATGAAAGGAAATAACTTTTAATGGCCAACTAAATGACGAGTTCCCATTTTAACAGAACTCTGTTTTTGTCTAGTTGATGTAACAGGTAACAGCTAGTAACAAATGAATCGATTTTGCTAAAGACATACGTTAATTTTGCATTTCTTCATTAGTGCGTTTCAAGAGCAAACACAATGAATAAGTCCGCAGAGTCATTGACTAGAGATACCGAAGATCAGCAGGGAGGATCGATTCTTTTTGTTATAATTGGCTGCACTGTGGTCTTAGTGCTGTTGTGTCTCTTTTGTGTTTTCATGATAGTTTGCGCTCCTTGTTTAGCCGTAATGTGTTGTTGTGGGGATTGTATGGGCCAGGCCGAAGATGGCGATGAATAAATTTGCTGACCCCTTGATATGAAAATGCGTTTGGATACCAAGTAAAGCCGGCAATCGAGAAAGAGTGAATCCAAATTGAATACAGTTTGCAAACTATTTCTCACATAAATTGTAATTAAAATGAAAACGAACTCAAAATGAAACATCCCCAAAATGCGGCAAATATTTAATTTAAAATTATAGAGTATTATGCAATAATTTTGTAATATTAGTTAGTGAAGGACTCTCGAACTCGAACTCAAAACAGCAAATAATGTGGGCGTGACCACACAAATTTTGTATCGATTCTGCGGCTACCCGAAATTTACTTCCCAAATTGAATGGTTCTAACTCAAAAACTGTGGAAGATATAGCCATTTCAATAGGCGATGGGGAGGCGAAGCTGGGCGTGACACATCCGATCTTTGAAGGACATGCCAACAACATACCAACCAAATTTGGTGACTGTAACCTTAAAATTGTGGGACATATGTGGCCTTACCGATTTGCAATTATCCAACTTATCGATGACACATTGATGCGGACACAGACCCGTATATGTTCTAACTGTTCAATTCTCTATCTGTAAGGGTATCGAAAAAAGTTGCGTTCATACAGACGGAAAGATGGATGGACAGACAGGCAACATGACGGACATTGAACAGAACCAATATACGATGACACCTTTGGTATCAGAGTATAAGTACATCTTTGACTGATAATATCTCTGTCAGCTATATGATATTTGGATTCTGGCATGATTTCTGCTTTAAACATATTGTAATCTTTTTAACGGTCCAACAAAAACAGAAAGAGATCATTTTCTTTTTCAATGAATCGTAAATGAATAGTAGAAAATAAACATTAAATTAACTATAAAATGTATAGTATGGACATTTTTTTATTTTTTCCTTTGTGATCGACATAATTATAAATATCTCAAACACTCTGAAAGGGTATAAAAAACTAGTACACTCAATTTAGCTGCGTGTGACTCTGCCTAGATCACATAAAAACTGAGGCAACATTTTTTTTAACTAGTTTTAAAAACCATAAAGAATAGTCGAAAATATTAAATAAAACAGTAAGCGTATGATATGTAAATTTGATTGCAAAAGAAATGGGTATATATGAATGTTTTCCATTGGGATCGATACAATTGTAATTTTTTATATGTATTAAATAATAAAATACATTCAGCTGCCTGTGACACTGACTAATGTAGTAAGTCTGTCTGTCTGACTATAGCTACAAATGTGCAGAGATGCTACTGAAGTTTTCACCTGCATGAATAGAAACTGAAAGCATTGCAAAATGGCTGAGCCACGTACTGCATTTAATTGAATTACAATTAATATTATTGCATAACAGCATATTCTGTAAAAATCTGTAAACACATATGGATTGATGTATGTAGTTATGTGTGTGTGCATGTGCGTCGATACTAAAGGCGCTTTTCATTTTGGGAAAGTTGCCGTTGGCAAGCGATATTAGTTTTAATTTGTGATGGTTATTATCAAAAGATGAAATAAAAAAATAACACGCACATACGCACACACTCAGTTACCAAACTTTCAAACTTTGCGCTTGTGTTCACATTTCTCTTTGGTAAAATACAAGAAATTTCAAGTCAATTGTCGTCGTTGTCGCCGTGCAGAAAAAGTGTTTCGACTCTTGGCTGGGAGTATAAATAATATTAAATTAATAGTAACAATTGAAACAAATGTCACACTCGCAGCGCGCAACAATAAAAACGTCGTCAAGCTGAAACATGAGTGGCCATTATATGTTGATATGGTTGTTTTTGCTTGTTGTTGTTGTTGATTGTTGCTGTTGTTGCTTGTTGTTGCTTGTTGTTGCTTGTTGTTGTTGTACTAGCTGTCCACACGGGTGTCATCGACGCGTCGAATCGTCTGTCATTATCACACATTGGTCCCCAGCACTTGACATGGTCTCAAAGTACCTCATTAAATGGCATCTTACTACATTTCTTTTGTTTTACCCATATCAATTTGTGCCCAAATATCCTGTTAAGATTTCATTTGAAATGTTATTGGAATGACTCTAAATATTTGCATTTGAGACCACTGTGCGGCTGTGGTTGTTTGGTCATAACTTTCAGCGAAAGTAACTGAACAAGTTCCAATGCCAATTGTGTGGTACTCTTATTTTTATTTTTTGTTTTTGTGCTTACCAACTAAACGTGAACTGTCGTAATATGGTTGCCAAAAAGCCAAAAACGAACACTCTGACTTTGCGTATAGAATTTAAGATGGAGAGAAAGTAAAATCAGGTTTACCGATACCTTTTTCCTGAATTTTTCAAAGTATGCCTTGAGAATAATAGAATTCCTTAGTCTAAAAATGTTTAAAATTCACGTAGAGCTTTGAAATTTCCTTGCAGTTTTTGAATACGTTTTGGTTGATGTTCGTTTTACGCGCGCCAAATCCATGTTGCATTAGCGTTATCGACTACAATAACAATACAACCGTGCGTACACAAACAACTGTTTACCAGCACTATCGCCAGCGACCGTGTGTGTGTGTGTGCGTGTGTGAGCGATTGAAGACAATGGCAGCGGCTGCGGACGGTGTTGTTCCTACCCTTGCAAGTAAATATCCAACAATTAAAACACATTTAATTCGATGCACATCGATTGCTGTACAGGCGAACTATATTAGACAAGTGTTTGCGTCAGCCCAAAACGCTGACAGTGCATATTAAAAGGGCTTTCGTCTGAGCGCCTTAACCGCGTGTAAATACATATATACATACGTGTATACGTATATATTATATATAATATATATGTGTTGGTTACAACGTTTAATATTTCTTCTTCGTATTTGTAGTTCGCTCTAGCGTGGCTGTTGAACTGTGGTCGTCAGCTGGTGCAAAGCAGCCATATGAACACAAGCCCAATTTGCCGCGAGAGGAGACGAAAAGTTCGCGTTCGATCTGCTTCAGTCCGGATGGCCGTTATTTTGCCTATTCGAATGGCGTTGTGGTGAAGGTGCTACACGTGCCCCCCACCACTGCCAACACTGATGGCAACAACACTGCTGTTGCTGATGCTGTTGGTTGGCCAGTGCAGTGCACGTTGCCTCGCCCGAAGGCCTTCTATCTGAAGTTCTCGCCGCGTGGCAATTATCTGTGCACCTGGGAGAATTATGCCATTACTAAGGATCGTCCCGAAGGTGCTCCCAATTTGCTCGTCTATGATGTTGCCACGGGCACGGAGGTCTTTGCCACGGTGCAAAAGAATCAAACGGACTGGCAGCCCTCGTGGTCAGCGGATGAATCGATCTTTGCATTGGTAGTGGGCGGCGAGGCACTCTTCTATGATCTGGCCGTGGATCCAGCTGTGGGATTTGCGCAGACTTCCCGCAAAATTGGCGGCAGTCGTGGCGGCATGTTGTCCCTCGGTCCGGGCAATAGTCCGCCGTATTTGGCATTTATTACGCCCGGTGCGAAGGGCGCACCGTCCATGTGCAAGCTCTACAAGTATCCGGCCCTGGGCCAGAATCAGACAGTCGCCTGCAAGAGCTTCTTTCAAGCGGATCGCGCCGAGATGCTGTGGAACAAGCGTGGCAGCGGCCTGCTCCTGTTAACCAGCACCGAGGTGGACAAAAGCGGTGCCTCCTACTATGGCAATCAGGCGGTTCATTTTATGGCCACCAAGGGTGACACGTGCTCCGTACCGTTGTCCAAGGAGGGACCCGTGCACAGCGTCAAATGGAGCCCAAAGGCCAATGAATTTGTTGTCGTCTACGGTTTCATGCCCTCTAAGGCGGCCCTGTACAATCTCAAGTGTGATGTTGTCTTTGACTTTGGCGAGGGTCCGCGTAATTGTGCCTACTTCAATCCGTTTGGCAATCTGTTGGTGCTCGCCGGCTTCGGCAATCTGCCGGGCGCTGTCGAAGTCTGGGATATTAGCAAGCGGGAGAGGATCGCCAATCTGAAGTGTGCGGACACCACGCACTTCGAGTGGCATCCAAATGGAGAGTGGTTCGTCACGGCGACAACTGCGCCCCGGCTGCGAATTAGCAATGGGTAAGTCAGTCTGAGATCAAAGATTGTCTATTTAATTTTTTAAAATGATTATTTTTGTAATTAGCTTCAAGATCTATCATTACTCGGGTGCCTTACTGCATGAGACATTTTGGCCGCAGGGGCAGGAGCTGCTCGGCATTGAGTGGCAGCAGTACGCGGATAATACGTTTGCCGAGCCAAAAATAACGAAGGCCAAGCACGAGGGTATCAAGTCCAGTCAGCCTGAGGCTAGCAAGAAGGTGTACACACCGCCCCATTTGCGTTTGCTAAAGGAGGGCAAGAATCCGGAAAATTATTTGCCGCAGCCGACGCCGACGGTGCCGGGACTTCCAGCAGCAGCACCAGGTAATAGCAGCAGGAAATTTTGGCATAGACAATATGACTTGGATAATCCCATAATGAGGCGATACCAGGGCGAGCAGCAACAGGGCCAGGGCCAAGGCCAAGGCCAGGGCTCAAATGCCGCCAGCTCAATACGATCCAATCGGCGTTATCGACCCTACCAGCATAGGCGCTACTAAATTGTTGTAAAGACACATCATCCATCATCCATCATTCCATTCCACATTCTCCATACAAACCCCCCCAAATGTAGGATTTTAGAGCAACGTTGGCTGTAAGTAAATAAATATCGTAATGCCTACAACATATTTAATGGTTATTTAGGTAAATTGTAGTCGTCTCTCTTTATCCGACTTATCGATCATATTTGGCAAAACAAGATTATCTATTTTTTTGTAGGCTCTTTAAGGGTTAGCCTTTCTTAACCTCCTCTACACTGCTCCTCCTCATACCTCATTATGGTATATATATAAATATCCTACTCTAAAATGATTTAACGTCTTTTAAATAATAACTTAAATATATTTAATAAAAATGGACTGACTTATAAGCATATATTTAAATTTGTATGTAATATTTTGTATAGTGTTCGGTCTGAGAATCAAATAATTTATCGTTTTTTTTAAGTAGGTCTTAATTTTTTTCCCTTTTTTTGTTTTTGGGTCATCAAATCATTTTTCCGAACAATTAAAAGGCCATCGCTAATTGCTCTCAATATTTTTGTTCTCTTTATCATCTGCAGGTTCGGGCAAGAATAAGAAGAAGAATAACAGTCGCAGCAACAAAGCCAGGGGCAACAATTCCATGAACAACAAGCAGCGTGAGACAACTGGGGATGCTGCTGCCACACCGCAAGATGCAGCTGCAGCTGATGCAGTTCCAACTGATGGTGTGGAGCACCAGCAGCAACTGCCTGCAACCAGATCAGGATCCGCTGCTGCAACCACCTTTGGTGAATCGCCGCGCAGAATTGCGCCGCCAAGACAGCGACAGCAGCCCCGGCAACAACAGCAGCAGAATAATTATCCACAGCAACAGGTGCAATATACTGAGCCCGGTGGCACACCACGTCATCCTGGCAATGACAATGGCAATAACAACAATAGCGACAAGGATCGCAAGATTCGTAGTGTTGCCAAGAAATTGTCCGATATTAAGAAGCTCAAGTCGCGTCAGGGTCAAGGGGAAACCTTGGAATTGAATCAATTGAATAAAATTGAAATGGAAGCCAAATATCTGGAGGAGCTCAAGGCGCTCAAATTGACCGTCTAAGAGCGACATATGCTGGATGCCATCAACTGTTAAATGTGTGATACAACAACTACAACAACAACAAGAAAAACAAAAGAGTTTACTGCAACTGCAACAACAACAAGAATAAGAATAAGAATGAGAATGAGAATGAGAACAACACGAAACACTCCGGAAGTTCATTTTTTAGGGTGTCGTCCATATTATGTACTTCCGTACTTCTTGTATTTTTCTTTAAGAGAAGTGAAAATGTGCTGTTTACTTTACGTGCGCAAATTTTTCAAAGTTAAAAAAAAGAACAGAAACAAAAACATTTTTCTACCATTGTGATTTTTTGAAAAAATATATATTTTTTGGCAATAACAATAATAGCAACAACAGCAACAACAAACTCATGTATATGTACCAAATTGTGCAAAACAGTAAATAAATAGTTTCCAGATGCAAAAACATTCACATTCATGTTTCCCAATTGGACTTCTTTTTGACGAACTCCTCGCGGCCATCTTCCTTGACAGCCACATAATAGCCAAGAGCCTGGTATTTATGGCGCATATACGCAATGTAACCAAAAACTCCAGCAACTGCCGCCAGTCCCAGGCCCATTATGATTTTATTCTATAAAAATAATTTTTACAAATCATTGATTTAGTATTGAGTCAGTTTCAATTTGGGTGTGCGATGTGCTTACCGGTTTCGCATACAGTTCAAAGTTGATGAGTCTGAAAGCAGTTGTGCTGCGCATGGAGCGTATTCCTTCTCCAGGCTTCGCTTCTGGTTTGTTGTCACTCATTGTAGATTAATTATATTTTGTAATCAATTCTCAAAACGCATTGCACAATTCTGGTAAACAACTGCAATACATGTGTGCTTCTATCGATAGTTGTGCGCAGTTGTAGAGTACAATTATCGATGAATATAAAAGTATCGCAAGGTTGCTGCAAATTAAGGTTCTCCATTTATTTTCGATATCTCTTTGCTTAACCGTTAACAAAATAGTCAACACACGTCATAATTAATTCAAAGGACTTGACAAAATTAATATTAAGTGAATATTAAAAATAAGTAACTAACTATCATTAAATCAATTTTTAATATTTAGCTTATATTGATACACCCTGCAAACTCATATTGAATTTGAAAACGGAAACAATAAGTAATGACAGTCAGCTATAATTCCCAATTGGATTTCTTTTTAATGAACTCTGTGCGTCCATCTTCCCTCAGTGCCATATAATAACCGAGCCGTTCGTATCTGCGCCGCACGTAGGTTATATAGCCAAAAACGCCAGCTGCTGCAACTAGACCCAGGCCCACTAAAACTTTGTTCTACGAAAACAAGACTTCAGTTTCATTCAAATTATATTTAAATGCCGTTACCTGTGTTGAATTAATTTCGGCGTTGATCGCCTTAAATAAATTTGTGGTTTGGGTGGGGCGTATACCCTCACCGGAGTTCGTAATTTTCTTATCGCTCATAGTACTAAATTTTTCGAATATGTGTAAAATTTTGACACAAAATAGAAACAACTGAATGAGAGCAGCGCGATAGCAGTGAGCATTGAGCTGCAGAAATCGAAATCTATCGATAACGGAACGATAAGAAGCAAACTGACGAAATACGAAATCTGCGATGGGATTAATTGTTGGGTTTATGTACACTTAATCAATTTTATATATAACTTTATGTACATATTTGGGAGTTTTGTGTCTTCATTCGTAGAACAAAAATAAATTTACAATTCTATGTTTCATATATAAATTGTGTTATATACAAGAGAATTTTGCGCCCCGGCTGCTCTACTCAAAGTCGAACTGATAGCCGCGATCCACGAAGCTAAGGCCCCGCTCAGAGCTAACGGGAAAATCATCCATAAACACAATGTAATCTTTGTAATCTGCTGAATGTTTCAGTTCCTGCAATTAATGAAATCAAATAAAATAATTTAAAATATTTTTCTAATACCAAGCACTCACATTGACATCTACATAATCCTCGAAGCCACAGAGAATATAATAAATGAGCAGTGGTCGAGTGCGAGTAAATTTACTATGCTGTTTATTCGGCTCGCGCTGCTTTAAAATGTTCAATGCACGCTGTAGAAAATTGGGTGTCAGCTCTCGACAATAGGACACATCCAGATGATGCAGTTGCGGGCACAGCTCAATGAATTTCAGTAGCATATCATCGCACAAATATGTCCAATTGCGTAGACACAGCAGCTGCAGGCTCGTCATACAGGTGTAGCGCTCCAGGAAGCCAATGGCATGTGTCCAACTGCAGATGGCCAGGCGCTGTAGCTTGCGATGTGACCAAATGGGCAAATTCGCATCCCAACCCGGCTCCAGTGGCATGTAATAACCATCGACGGCAACGCCAACTATATCCGGAGCCTTGCGTTCCATTATCTCAAAGAATTCGTGCACCTCGCGTATCTTGTGATCATAGCTATCCACACTAGCCAATGGTGGTATGCACCACTCAGTGTCCAGGAGAACAATCAACTGTTTGAGTGCTGGCAGTTTGAGAACATCGGTTAAAACTGATTTCAGCGTGGCCAAATTAAGCTTTAAGATGCTGAGATTCTTAAGGTAGTCCACGCAGGTATTGAGCCGCAGTTTGCTGATAACATCATACATACGTATGTCCAGTACTTGCAGATTAAGCAATTGACTGTAATTTGAAAGTAAATGAATGGTTATGTTCTAATATATAAAATGTATATACAATACCTGCATATCTCATCTAGATATTCCTGCTGCAGTTCGTATTCCTTGTGCTGATCCTCGTACAAGTGCAGCTCTTGCAGGTGTCGAAAGTTCGACAGATATCGGCCCTGAATTGGTGTCGTTAGACGAAGTCGCTGCAAATTTGGCATCATTTCAGCCATCTTGCTTATGCTGCGATCCGATGGATAGCAGTCCATTTCCTCGGGATCGTAATAGAAGCTGGTAACATTGGGCAGCACATACACTTGCATCTCATCTAAATCCTTCAGCAAGGCGCACAGACAGGTCGACACATGCATGTGGCGTATAAAGGGGCGCATTTCTTTTATGAAATAGCACAGGTCCTCATAGTTGGGCAACAATTCGCGCCACTTTTCCATGTCCAGCTTATCGTATAAATGAGAACTGCGCCATCGGTTCAGGCATATCCACTGAAAGCGCTGGCAGACTCTGGCAAATGCCACTTCACTGCGTAAATCCTGCAGACGCTCAAATATACATTCCAGACAATCGTTGTTTAGCTTGAATATATCCGCCGTTTGTCCGCCAGGCGTCGGCAGCGTTGCAAGTGCATTTGACGGCGCTTCGGCCATAATTGTAAGATTTAAATTTTTTTCTTTCTGCTTCACAATATGTTTTTGGCCACAACTGCGTTCTAGTTTGTTAAGTATATTTAATTGACTGTTTGTTTTGGCCAAGAGTAAAACGAATTTACAAAAAATTGTCTCATAACAAACAAAATTGTACCACAGCTGTTTGAGGGCAGTGTTGACAAATAGAGCTGTGCTATTTATTTCGGAACGAGTTCGCACGAACTGGTCCTCGAAAAATTAACTATTTAGATGGTGTTAATTTGGTTGGTTATGATCGGTTTTTAAAAAATTTTCATATATACATTTTCTAAAAACCGTTCTCGCAGAAAAAAAGTGGTTTACATCTTGATATATATTTTTGTTTATTATTTTAATTTGTTGAAAAATGTTATAAAGTAAATATTGATAAGATATAGTAAATAAAATGAGCAAGGGGGTACATATTAATACAATGTGGACAATTAAATGAATAAATGTTAATACCATATGATAAATAAAATGAGCAATAAGCTCGATTAATAAACTGCTAAGTAAAATATTCGAATTGTACAGCACCACTTAAAAGTGCTGTAAAACTAATGGTCGATTACGAATATATCGAATATATCGAAACAACACGTGTGTGTGCGCCGTTCTGTCTTATGCCTTTTATTGTGACTGCAGCGAACAAGACGTTGCTTAAAGTTTTAAGTGTCAAGCAAAAAAAAGGATTTAGTCAATTACAATGGCGGAACTGCAAAAATTAGCCGATGCCATAGTGCTCGAATATCTCAAAACCAAGGATAAAAATATGTCTAAAGTATTCGAAGCTAAAACCAAAGCGGTAAGTTTGCTACGCTGCTCCTACTTCATTTTTTTCCCCAAGCTGCATGTCAATTTGTATGCTTTTTGTGTGCAATGCGGCGGCGACTGTGTCGGCAAATGTGAATTTTGTGCGTGCGTGTGTGTGTGTGTGCAATCGATACAATTGAAAATAGTTGAAAATGACTGGTTTGGATTTTCTGCGCACTATTCAATGATTTCCGACCATGCTGAAAAACACGTGTTTCCACTAACCAACAACTTTTCTTGCATGCTTGTGAATTTTTCTTGGCGTCTTTAGGCCCCCGTTGGAAAGAATACACCGAAATTGACAGAGATCTTGGCCTTTTATCAGAGCACAAAAAAAATACCGCCATTGAAGAAAGCTGGCACAGATAGTGACGACAGTGATTCCAGCGATTCAGATGAGGGAGCGGCACCGAAAACAAACGGCGGAACGAATGGAAAGACAGCAGTGCCAGCTAAACCAGCTGCCGGCTCAAGCAGTGATGATAGCGACTCCAAGGATGAGCAGCCAGCGAAAAAGTCGTCACCTGCTAAGCCAGCAGGGCCAGTAAAGAAAGCAGCTGCTGCTGCATCCTCAAGCAGCGAAGAGGAGAGCTCGGATGACGAACAGCCGCCGGCGAAGAAGGCAGCTCCAGCTGCTGCTGCAAAGCAGGCGACAAAACCCGCATATACCAGCGATAGCAGTGAGTCGGAGGAGGAGAAGCCAAAGCAGAAGAAACCGGCAGCAGCTGCTGCTGCGGCGAAGGCACCAGCTCAAAAAGCAGCTGCATCCTCTTCCAGCGAAGAATCCTCCGATGATGAGCCACCTAAAAAAACTACTACGGCCGCTAAGCCAGCACCTAAGGCTGTTGCCAAGAAGGCAGCCGAGTCCAGTAGCGAGGAGGACAGTGATGATGAAGTGCCGGCAGCAAAGAAGGCTCCAGCAGCAGCAACTGCGAAACCTGCAGCTAAAGCTGCCGCATCCAGCAGCAGTAGCGAAGACTCGGAGGAGGAGAAAAAGAAACCAGTAGCTGCTGCTGCCAAGGTAGCGCCTGCAAAAAAGGCAGCCTCCTCTAGCAGCGAGGATTCTTCCGATGAGGAGGAAGCCCCCAAAAAGGCAACACCGATTAAAGCCGCCGCACCGGCCAAGAAAGCCGCAAAGTCCAGTTCGGACTCCTCCTCGGACGATGATGATGAACCGCCCAAGAAAGCAGCTGTCAAGGCCGTAGCGCCAGCCAAGAAACCAGCGGCGAAGGCTGACTCTGAAGACTCGTCCTCAGACAGTGATAGCTCGGAGGATGAGAAACCTGCAGTGAAGCCGGCTGTCAAGAAAAACGCAGCTACTGCTGCCAAAAAGGAGGAATCCTCATCATCTGATGATTCTTCCGAAGACGAGAAGCCGGCCAAGCCAGCAGCAGCCAGCAAGGCAGCTGCTAAGAAGGATGACAGCTCCTCTTCGGACAGCGGAGAAGAATCCGGAGAGGTGAAGGCCCCACCCAAGCCAGTGGAAAATGGAAAGAAACGCAAGTTCAGCGGTGCCGATGTGGAGGAGGAAACGCCAAACAAAAAATACAACAATTTTGTCAAGTCGGGCGAGCAGCAGGTGAGTTATCAAGAAGCGTTAATTATAATCTAAAGGAAAGGGCAGAGCAGCCTTCAAAATGTGATCAAAATTAGTTTTCCAATATACAGTTGCGGAAAAAATAATAGAACCACTCACAAGAAATGTTTTCAAAGGTGTCGATTATAAATTTGCAAGTTTAAGAAACGTTTTCCGTAATTGGAATCTAGAACAGAACTTGTTGAACGCAATCAAAGCAAAAGTTGTGTTCAATGGAGTCAGATATATTGTTATAAGCAACAAAAATCCACTTTTTGGAACCATTGTCAAGATTCAAGGTGTAAGGTTTGAAGTTGCTGTTGCTGCCCAATCCCAAAGGTATTCAGTAGATGACCTAAACTAATTGACAATGTGTGCAATAGCGAAACAGTTTCACATCCACGCCCAACAACAATAGTATAAATAATGCCAACAACAAAAGTGGTGGTGGAAGTGGTCGTCGAAGATCGCCTTTCCGGCGTGTCCGCACCGAGGAGGTGCTCATCGATTCACGCGTCCAGGACATGTCCTTCGAGGCGAAGGTGAGTGCCACAAAAATGCATTTGAGAGGGGACGCGCGCTGTCTGTGTGTGTGTGTGTGTGTGTGTGTGTGAGTCTGGAGTGGGGCATTTGCAGTGTTATGTTTTTGGGGTCAGTTCCGGGTGGGGGTTAGGAAGCGAAATTGGGGTTACACACAAATTAGCTAAAGCGCCTTTCGAACTCAAATCATTTGTGGCACTTGCGTTTAGATTATTTAAATTTGTATTTGCCATTTGCTTGCACTGCTTGGCTAATTTGTGTTTAACCAATTTTTGCGTTGCTCTCTTTAAGGATGGTTTCAAGAAGTTTAACAATGGACCACGTGGACGCGGACGAGGCGGCGGCTCTGGCTTTGCCGGCCGTCCTGATCGTAGCACTTGGGAGACTAACAATGAAAACGGCGAGGATGGCGGCGATGGTGGCTTCAAGAAGAGCTTTGGCGATCGCCAGAGCTTTGGCGGCTTCGAGCGCAAGTCCTTTGATGGACAGCAGCGTGGTGGACGTGGCGGCGGCCGAGGGGGTGGTTTCGGTCGTGGCGGCGGCGGCGATCGTGGTGGACGCGGTGGATTTAGCCGTGGTCGTGGCGGTGGCGGCGGCGATCGTGGCGGTCGCGGTGGATTTGGACGAGGCGGCGGCGGCGGTGGTGGTCGTGGTGGTGGTGGGCGTGGTGGGGGCTTTGGCAATAAATCTTTTGATTCGGCGCCAAAGCAAAATAAGAAAATTACCTTTGACAATTGATATGTAAACTAGCTTGGACATAGACATAGACATCAATCATAGACACTACGCAAAAGCAGAACGATAAAATGCAATCCCAAATGAAATAATCACCATAATGCGGATAGTTTTAATTCCCATTATTATCGTGTGTAATTATTTAATTTGGTGTTTTATATTACAACGCCTCCGAACAGACAGACACAAACACACTCGCACGCAAGTTAAATATAATACATATTTGTTGTATACATAATAATATTAACTAACTTTTATATACGATATATAAAACAAAAAAATATAGAAAAACGCTGCCGGCTCCTGGGGAGAGCGCGCCAGTCTTGATTTGAAACACACGCGCGGCAAATCCTTCAAGCACGAGAAGACCAAAAAGAAGCGCGGCAGCTATCGGGGCGGTCAAATTGACACTGGCGTCAATTCAATAAAATTTGACTAGATTTATGTTAGCACATAACATATATGCGTACATATTTTAATACATAAACTTAAATATTTAGTTTGTAAACATGCCAATCACCCACATACACGTGTAAGGCAGACCTTGGACCATCAATTTCGATGGCCAAGTATCGATGTAATGTTTATTGTGACTACTTATGAACTGTTGTTCAGCAGCCAGCATATTGTATACATAACTTCACCCTAAGATCTGGAGAATAAAACGTGTACATTTCATGTTGTAAGCTCAATTTGAATTTCGCTGCAAAATGTTGTTTTTATTTTGTTATTGCGTTGCTGAACGACAGAGCATAAAACTATAGAGTGGCATCACTAAGCATTCAACAACTTTATTATTCAATAATTTTGAATAGCTCTTGTCTTCTACATGAAACTTCAATACATAATATTTAAGATCAATCGCTATGAACGACTATCAAACATTTTGTTGATTGCGAGTGAAACATACATGTGTAATAAACTTATGAAAGAAACTTTGCATTGTTTTGTGTTAGTTCTTTGAGATTCCAATCCAAGTAAGCATTTAATTTAATATATGTTATTTAAATCACTCAATTTAATACACAGCATTTGGATGCATTGACCAATGATTGGTTGCCATTGAATCTAGATTCACCAGGAACAGAATATATGTATACATATATTTTCTTCATATTTACTCGTATGTCAATGGAACCACGAGCTAAAGACAATGCGATGGTAATATTTATGTGGGGGAATCTTATAAGCACTTATAACCAGCCGGGTGGCTTCTGTTCGCAAATCTGCTCGGATAGGTGACATTGCATGATGATAATTGCCCGGATATGGCGAGGTGGCATATGAATTGAATGAATTGGTAGGTCGGATACGCCATTTGCATCTGCGCCGGATACGGCATATTTCCTGGGGCGGCAGCGTCGGCTGTTGTGGCTGGAGCATCAGCAGGGGGTCTATTTGGAATATCGCTGCCACTGCCGATTTGGATGCATATTATGATAGCTCTGTGGTCAGATCCTGGAGCAGCTCCTGTTCAGCATTGTGTGCAAAAACAAAATCTTTGATCTTATTCTGAAAGACGACGAGCAACTGCATATATTCCAATTGGAGTGTGCTACTGGGTTTTTTAAAAATCTCTATTGATAGAAGACCGTTTATCTTGAGGAAATTATGGTTCGTACCTTGGTGCAACATGGACTCCAATGATTGATTGATTATCGGTCGACTATCTGAAGAGTGCTATGCTGTAGGTGTTTACAATGGTCAAGTAAGTTATTTCAGATATCCGAAAGAAAAGCAATCAACTTTATTTCTTCAGAAGGTATGATATGATGTGTTCATTTTGTACCGTTTGGATATAGTTATATTTAAATAATTATAATATAAAAATCAACATTAACACTATACTATTCAAAACATCCAAAGTAGAGAATAGTCAAAATTTTCACAATAAAATTAATCTCATAGCTGTTATTAAATACTTAATTCCAAACTATAATTTCGAAAATATATTATATGATAATAATAATTTCCCAAATGTATTAAATTTTAGCACTTTTTACGCTGTTTTCGAAATTTACCACAATTTGAAAATAAATCAGGACAAGCTTTCGAAAGTATTTTTCCAAGAATACTCACCTTAGGCAAATCAATTAAGTTCTTCATTAATTTTGAATTTATCATTTTATTTTACTGAATTTCAATATTGTGTTTATCGTAACTTCGTATCGATTTTGTTCATATGTTTCATTTTCCGTATTATATTCACATTTAGTATTGAAAATGTATTGTCAAGTTGTTTGCTTGTATGTTTAGGGTATGCGAACGTTGCCATTTATATACATATATCTGCATATATAGTTTATAGCAATAGTAACTAGGTGTAACTTTATTGCGTTGGCCATGACGGCAAAGCAGAATAACGGAAAATAATTATAAATTATATAATTAAATAATCACAATTGGTTGTAAAACTTTACTTTATATAATTTAGTAGGTATTATAATATTCGAGCTACATTTTATTTGTGTGTAGTGTGAGGTTTTAAAATGTAATCAGCATATCAATTTACAACTTCATCGGGCATTTGCTTGTTCGAGGCGATAAAAATACAGCAGAGATTCGATATAACATTTAACTACATACAAATGTATTGGTTATACAAGGGCATAGTGGGATGAAGGTGCGTGTTTTAAAAATATATCAACAAAATACATATACAATCCCTTTATATAAAGCATATATATGAGTTAGTAGTTTATATGAGATTCCTGTTTTTGTTTTTGCTTTTGCTTTTGTTTTTGTAATTCTTTCTCGTTCACTCCTATTCGGACATGTAGGGATAGTTAATGTCACGCAAGGGCACAAACGTCTCCTTAATCGACTGCGGGGATGACCAGCGCAGTATATAATGTGGCCCACCTGCCTTGTCATTGGTGCCCGACTTGCGGCCGCCTCCAAATGGCTGTTGTCCCACCACAGATCCCGTGCACTTGTCATTGATATAGAAATTGCCAGCTGCTATTTTGAATTCTTCCAGAGCGCATCTGATAAAATCTCTGTAAGACATAGTTTTGTTATAAATATATATATATATTTAGATCGATTGACTTGCGCTGGCTGCACTTACTCATCCTGTCCAAAGACTGCGCCGGTCAGAGCGAATGGTGTTGAGGTATGCACCAGTTTCATGGTCTCCTGCAGATCTGAATCCTTATATACGTAAATAGTAACCACGGGTCCAAAGATTTCCTCAGTCATAATGCGATCTTTGGGATCTTTGCTTTGCACTATGGTTGGATTTATAAAGTAGCCCTTGCTATCGGAATACGTGCCGCCAGCAAGAATCTCCAAATTGGGACTCTTTTTGGCATGCTCAATGTAGCTGGTAATGCGTTTAAATGCTTTGTCATCGATAACAGCCGATGTGAAAGTGCTCATGTCCTGCACATCATCAATCTTTAGTTTGCCCACTTCGCTCAGCAATCCAGCCTTGATCTGTATCCAAATCAAATGTTCTTATTACTTGCATTTTGCATTTTGGAAACCAGCAGCAACGCTTACCTGTGGCCACAGCGACTCGGGCACATACATGCGGGAACATGCCGAACACTTCTGGCCGCTGTACTCAAAGGCTGAGCGTATTGTCGAGGTGACCACGGACTCAACATCCGCTGACGCGTGCACAAAGTGGAAATTTTTGCCGCCACATTCGCCAATGAGGCGCGGGAAGTTAACATATGTATCCAGATTATTGCCCACTTGCTTCCACAGTCGATTGAATGTGCTGCGTATCAGTTATGAAATTCAGTGAAGTGTGGCACACAAAACAAAAACAAACAAAACTACTTACGGCACAGAGCCGGTGAAATTGATGCCCGCCAAGTGAGGCGAGGCGGTTATTGTGTCACCAAACACTGGGCCATCTGCAGGCACAAAGTTCACGACACCATCGGGCACACCAGCCTCGCGCATAATGTTGAAAATCCGCCAATTGGACAGTAGAGCCGTGTCCGAGGGCTTCCACAGCACAGCATTGCCCTACAACAGACAGAAGACAGCGATAGACGTTGAAGTGGGTCGTTGAATACAGATTGTGAATACCCCATCCCTCCACTCATACCATCAATGCGGGCGTGTAGGCCAAGTTGCCACCAATGGCGGTAAAGTTGAATGGACTGACGGCGGCTATAAATCCATCAATGCCACGATAACGCATCGAGTTCTTCGTGACCTTTATGTTCTCGCTGATGGGCTCGTATTTGACGCACTCCTTGAGAAAATAGGCGTGAATGCTGTGAATAAGGGAGATGTTTATTATTCGAAGGAAACTGACAATGGTATCACCTAGTTAATAGATGACATGTATAAATCGGGATCAATTGCAAAATGCACATCGAAAAACGATTTATAAAATGATTATGAAATAGAAAAATTGTATTTTCAAACCGTATAAAATCGATGAGCTCAGCGGACGAATCGATTTCCGCTTGAATGGCCGTCTTAGCCTGACCCAACATGGTGGCTGCATTCAACTCCTGACGATATTTGCCCGCCATTAAGTCAGCGGCACGTTCCCAAATCTGTAAGCGATCCTCCAGCGGTACTCGGTCCCATTTTGTCTGCGTCTCCACGGCCGTTTTGATGGCCTTCTCCAATAGTTTCTTATCGGCATAGTAGAACTGCGCCAGTTTGTGCGCATGATTGTGTGGCATCACCTGATGCATCACCTTGTCCGTTTTGTACTCCTTGCCGCCAATGACAATGGGCACCTCCTCACATTTGGCGGCAGTACTCTTCAGTGCCTGTTGCAAGGCTTTGCGTTCCTCGGAGTTTTTTCGATAACTCAATATGGGCTCATTCATAACACCGACATCCTTCAGCTTGGGTTGTGCAACAACGCTGCCCAAACTGCGTACATAGCTGTTTGCGATTGGAGAATTGCAATATTATTAAAGATATGCTTATTCAATTAGATTAAATCATACGTTTGAGCAATGCTTTGCGGCATGGAGGAGCCGATGGCTGGAGAACGCATCAATCGTAACATCTTGTTTGCTGGGAATGATGGTTTGGGTTCGTGTGTCGACTCTGATTCACTTGTCTCGTTATGCAAACGCTAGAATTTTGTCGCTCTGCGAGATAACGTTGAAAAAAAAAATACAAACAAAAAAAAAGAAAAAAAAAGACGTCATTAATTCCATTTATAGCGGCAGCGTTTTTATCAGCAACCTTGAACGTTCATTGGGGGTCTGACTCTGGCAGCCGGCGCAGCGTCGCGTGATTTTTACTTGATAAGCAGCCAAACGTGCGGCAGCCACACGCCCACTGTCAATGTTACCGATATCAAAGTACTATTAAAATACTTTCATTTACGTTTATATATATTTACAACCAAATCAAATGTCTCGTGCGAAAGCAAATGCCAACTGGGCAAGTGTTGTGTAAACGTGCGAGTTTCTTTCTCAAAGCTCACACAGAACGCGCACACATGCCTACACACAGACACACACACATGCATACATATATATACACACACAGGTATCGGCAAGTTTTAACAAGAATCAGCTGTTCTCGCTATGCTGAGACTGTGGAAATTTCCCACTGTCAAAACTTTTGCATGAAAGAGGGAAAGGGATTCCTTTTCTGGTTTTTATTTTAGATATATTAAATATGATGAGGGTAGCTCAAGCAAGAAAGAGCGCACGAAAAGCACCCCAGTTCAGTTCTTATACATACATAAGTGTTAAGTCAGCTATTTTTTTTTTTATATTTTTGTAGTATTCATTTCAGTAAATATGAATCTATATGAATTTATTAGTTGTGTTCTTATTCTGTTATATTGATTGATTTTTATATGTAAAGCATAAGATACATATTTCTATATATTTATATATATCTGTATGTAGTGTAATAAATGGTCACAAGTTTTTGAGGCCAAGTAAAACATGCGCACAAATACAACGATACTCAGCTGCAAGCTAGATATACACAGATTCTGACTGACACACAACACACATGTACGTATGTATATGTTTACATACAGGCGCAAATTGAATGCACTTCGTTTTGTTGTACGGGGGCCGCATTACGCAATGTTTTGATTTTGCTTTGCCATTCACTTTAGATATATATATTTCAAATTTTTCACTGGGGTGCCAGCATTATTGGTTGCTAAATTTTTTTTAGGTCTATCGTTATTTTAAATTAATTACAGCTTACTGTGTGTGTGTTTTATTTTGCGAACGATGTGGAGGGAGTGACACGAGAAGTCTTAATGATTGTTTGGCCTTTGCCTACGTATGTATGTATTCATCCGTTAGAACAGAATGCCTGTATGTGTGTAGGTGTGCTCAATTTTTAAATTTTATTTTCATTTCACAGCTGATGCCTATCGATAGTTTTGCCGCCTTCCAGTCACTTCAAGATTTATTACTATAATCATGTTTGAGTACAAGAAATTGAAGCATGGAAAAAAAGTGTTTTAAGTTTGTAATATTTGTTGTACCAATAGGCTAAGAAGATTTCAATGATTAAACAATCGTAGCTATGCCATTCTATATGTTTTTTGTCTATTTGCCTTTCTGTCTTACTATTGACGTAGTATGTATTTCAAAAATTGATTACTCTCAAGAATCATCGATTAATTTTGCGTGCGAAACATATCGCTTAATTTAGGCAGCGCGCCAAACCTGTGCACCACTAACGCTTACGTTTTGCAGCACTTGAATGTGTTATCGATTTTGGCGGGACGTTTGTATTTCTTGTAATTTAATTTTGCTTAGTATTTTCTTTTAACTAATTATGTGTATTGGAAGATTACTCATATTTTAAATATATATATATATATAGTTGGGTAGCACAGCATAACAGACTTATTTATTTTATATTAAAATCATTTAATAGCACAACAAAATCAACTACAGTTCAATACTTAACCGCTATGTGTATGATGTAAGTGTTTTATTAACTTAAGTATTTGTCCAATGCTTTACTTAGCCATAGTAGCCTCCACCGCTACTTGCACTTGCGCTGGCAAATCCTCCGCTGCTGCTCGCAAAGGCTGTGTCTATAACAGAAAACAAGTCCAGAACACTGACATATATATACAATGCAAATGCAGAATCTTGAAGAATTTGTTAGAAATGGTGCATTTTACTTACTCATCCCACTCCCACTATATGGATAACCATATCCATAGCCCGGGTATCCATAGCTTGGATAACCATAGCCATAGTTTCCTCCGCCGCCACCGCCGCCGCCGCCGCCTCCTCCGTAGCCGTAGCCAGGATATGTGTATCCATAGCCGGGATATGAATAGTACGATGGATAGCCGTATCCATATCCATAGCCATTACCATAACCACCATAGCCACCTCCATATCCGACACCCGCACCCGCACCCGCACCGGCACCAGTGCCCACTCCTCCAAAGTATGGATATCCACTGTATTGCGATTGCACCAGTTGGCTCTGTAGCAGGACGGCTAACAAAGCTAATAAGCATAGCCAAAAACAGCGACTTGTTGAAATTCGCTGATATGCCATATTTGTGGTTTATTCCCCGGGTTTAATCTCACTGGAATTCTTTTGAACACTGCTTGGCAAAATCAGAGCGTTTGCTCTTTTTATACGCCATAAATGTATTTGTATTTTTCCAATTTCGACTCTGAAACGATTTTTAATAGCGCCTAATCATTCACCATTTGGTCATCAATTGCTGAATGTTTACGTTGCTGTCGTTTTTTTATTTTATTATTTATTATTTTTTTTGGCTAGCGTATTGTTTGTTCATTGGAGTGTGTCGAAAATTTCGTTTGCACAGTTTTTACAAATGTAAAGACCTTCATTACATTATCATGGGATTATTATAATTTGGTTGACAACAAATAAAGGGTATTAACGCAAACTATAATAAAATACTATGAATATGTAAATAAGTATGATGCGCATGAAGTTACCCTGTCAATTGCGACAATACAGAATCAGAATCATTATTTGTTAACTTTTGCATCTTTAAAAAAAAAAATATATATAAGGTTCTACTATAAAAAAATGTTGAACTACCAATAATATGAATGATAGACATACTTTCAAATAAGGTTTCTCAAAAATTTCAGATAGTTTAGTTTCAGATAAGATTAAGATTTTGCAACAATTGCTGTATTCAAAAAAATGAAAAGAAATTTTATTTATGTATGTCGGAAGACAAAACTAATATTATACGGGGTAATCAACGAGGGAAAATTAATAAGACGCCAAGAGGCATATGATGACAAATGAAGGTAGGAATCCCATTTAAAACCATTTAAGAAGGAAATGCTGCTTATACCTGTTGTACTAAGGAGATCAAACACCAAAAGAGGTTTGGAGATGAAACGCCAACTTCCTTAAAGGGTACACAATAATGTGCATATGTGCGCATAGTATGTTCGTAGTAGATTGTAGGGTATCAAATTGAAATAAGTAGTAATCATATGACTCAGAACAACAGTTTTGTTTACTTTATAGGCATTTAAAATATTTCATTTTTTATTCTATTTTTTTGTATTTTAGGGGTTTACCAGTTCCTACTTCTGATTTAATGCATAAGCACTGTCATTAACCTTACAATTTGATGACATGACATTAAAATATCAACTGGGGTGATTTTTGGTTTAAGTCCGATTTTCAACTCTTTGAGGTTCAATGGTCTGGGTGGTCAATGCTCATAAACGCCCTTCAATTGAGGTCAGCTGTGAGCGATTAATATGAATATTAACCACACTGTGAGCAGAAATATAATTATAAATGTTTTTCTAGTATTTTCAATGCAATACAAGTTCATTGTGAAGGATTATGCTTGGATTGTTTGAGTTCGATCGCCGCGCATGCGAGATATTATTATTATTGCTGTTACCTTGGTAAGTTTAGATAGTTAGAGTCATAAAGTTAATGACATAGTTCTAATAACGACAATATATTTATTCAATATTACTTGGAAAATGTTTCCTAATGTAAGCCACATAAATTCTGCTGTTTTTTAATCCAAGTGAAATATTTTCACAAAGATAATCCATAAGATAGGCGATTAATGAGGTATTGTTGTAATGAATATTGTTTTGAATGAAATAATGTACATTATAATTGTGTTTACATCAAAAAAAGAATTAAAGCTTTAATGTGGTAGTGATGGAAATTTCAGTAAGTGATGTTGCTGCTTTAAATGTGGGAATATTCCGAACAGAAATTATTATATATGAACCGATTAGTAATTCCGTGGAACTAACTGCCAGCCCATTACCCGACCATTTGTTATGGCTGGCCTTATTATTGCTGTGTATCTATGTGTGTATGTTACAGGGCCAATTTGCACAGTTATTTTTTCCTAGATTGCCATCTGTTATTCTACTTGGATTGGTTGATATTATTGAAAATTACGCTGCACTGAATCTTGAGCACTTGCCTTGGCAAACGTGAACAATTTGCGCTTAAAAATACAAGTCACAAAACTTGGGAAACTTTTGTTGCATGCACACACACACACACACATGGGTTGTATATCAGACACACACACACACACACATACATTACATACATTTGCAATTGCATACACAAATTGTGCACAAAATTTCATTCATTAATTTTTAAATCCAGCACGGCCCGCTGTGTGTAGGTGTGTCGTGTCTATTTACACTGCCCAAAAACGTTATGGCGACAATTTTGTTCCGTTTCTAGTGTTGTTTCTGTGTTGCCATTGTATTTGTTGGTTAGCATACCATTTCACTCCAATTCCGCTTTGTGCCATGGGCTGTAAGTGTTGTAAGCAGCTGACGTTTGCTATTTTTTTCTTTCTTTTTTATATTTTTAGCCTCCTCCTTGCTGTCATTTGTTGTTGCTGCATTATATGGCTCCAGGTGTTTTATTGTATTGTTGTTATTTCTGTTGTTGTTGTTGTTGTTTCTGTTGCGAGTGGGCTTCTGAGTGATTTTACTTTGAGTTGCAGTTCTTTTGCGCATGCCTCATCTCAAATGTTGCTGGCTCCTACTTGGCACCCTGTATTGCTAGTTGTAATATAATTACTGCGTTGGAAGGCAGCGATTGTGGTATTTTGTTGTTATATGTATAAAAGATCTGTTTGGTGCACAGCTGATAGATTTACACATACAAATGTGTATGGTTTCAACTTTCAAATATAATGAGTAGAATATATATGAATTTGAATCTGCATAATTCAACTTTCGAGATCAATTCGATATTTTATCTCTAACATCGAATTATACTTTCGATTCTCCAAGTCGATTTCTCCTGCGCTTGGATACAGTATTAAATAAAACATAACTCGAATTTTACACAATTTACATAATATATAATAAATGTGAATTTTGAAAGTGTCTTTTTAATAAATCTGGCAAGGATTATTAAATGATAATGTGAGTTTTAGACGTTCGACTGAACACACGTAGAACTGATTATGTCCAGTTTGTTATTAATATATTAGTCATAAATATATTACAGTGAAATATGAGTAGGGGATTTACAACGTTATGCTCCACTTTATAAAACAATTAAATTATTTCCTCGACGCAATTTAATTTAATTCAGTTTCGAAATTCCTTATCAAAATTGTTTTGATAGATAAACTTATAATTCTACAAGTTAAACCGAAATTAGCCTGCGATTGTGGTATGTAATAAGAATTCCTATGGACATCTACCAAAATGGTCCCAATACAAAAGCTTGAAATAAGTGGGAACGTTCTATTTGTGGAGTATTCTGATACGTTTGAGCAAAAAATAAATGATCGGAAAAATACATTAATATCAGTCGGTTTTTTAAATTTATAATGATTTTGAAATTGAATTTTAGTGTCAGTAGGGGAACCGAGGTTGCAAGGCTTTTGACGTACCTAAAACCAAGACTGTATATTTGTTCTTGATCAGGATCAACAGCCGAGTCGATATACCAATGTCCGTCTATCTGCCCGTCTATATTAAATACACGGATCTCAGTGACTTTAAATTTGAAATTTAAGCTCTCGAATATCAGCCTCTAGACATGCACATGTGATGTATTCTTACGGTGCTTTGGATCCTATCATTTATTTGAGTTTCTGATTTAGAGTCTGAATATCAATTATGGATAAATAAAAAATCAAATTAAATGATTTTTAAGTTGCATTATTCCCAGTCTAATTCAGTAAAACATATACCTTTGTTCACTTACTAAAGTTTGTATATATGATAGTCTGATTCCCATCTAACTAGACTTCTTCCTTTGATATAAAAGTACCCTTCATAGCGACCACATACTAATATTATTTAGCTTCTTTGTTCGCTTGTTTTAGTTTTA